ATGCCTATATGTTCTAGCTCTAGAACTCAGCATATTTCTATATCTATCCATAGCCCCTTGCACCTGTGACAACTGGTCATCTGTCGTCGGTAAAGGACCCTATGAGTAATGCAGGGCGCACCTGACACCACATCTTGCCATACGATAGGCGTTTATGATCTCGGCTCTCGGAAAATCTCTGCGCATCCCTTATCCTCTCTCGCCATCACGCGCTAAGATGAACCACTCCCCATATCCCATGTGGAAAAGAAACCAAAGAGCCAGGTGAGCGAAGAGGGCCAAGCAGCGCTAGAAGAGGTTCGGTCCTAGTCTTGTGAATCAGGAACGCACCAGGCGCACGCAAACGCCCCCACGGCAATCGACCTTGAAGGCCTCTGCGCGCGCCCCTGGGCCCGGCCCAGCTGGGCGTGGGCTGCTGCTGGGTTCTGGCTCGCGCACGCACTGATCCCTTCAGCTGCCTCTTGACCCCCCTTGCTAGCCAGGAAAACCCCAAAAAGCACCCAAGGTTTGCCCGAGGCGTTCCCGGATCACCAAGATGCGCCCACTGGGCTGCGGGCTTGTAATCTGTTCTATGTTTCGGGTACTAGCTGTGTTCGCCCAGGCTGCACCGCGCAATGGCCTGGTGGAGTGGGTGGGTAGAGAGATGGATGAGTGGATGAGTGGATGAGGTTAACTCTGGCTGTTTTTCTTTTCGGCGATTATGCCTGCGCTGTTCCTGTTCAGTAATGGATATCCCTTTGCCGATCCAGGGGGGTACGTTTCTCGACAAACGGATTCCACGTTCCACGTGGCTGGCTGAGCGGTTGATCTGGGCGGTATATGAGCTGCTGATGGCGCCCACTCGGGGAGCAGAGTGAAGGAGGGAACGAGGCTTTCTGGTGCGTCTTTACTTCTTCACTGTTGGTCGTTTCTTCGTCGACGAGTCCTCCTATCGCCACCTTCGTCACGTCCCGCGCATCATACAACGCCAAGGATGGAGGTCCCAACGTGGCTGCAATGGTACAAGAAGCCAGAGTACCGAGACATCAAGCAGTACTCGACCGACGTGCGTAATGGACGCCGCAGCATATCATCTGATGGCAAGGGCAAGTCCAGTATCCCGCCTCACCTGAGTCTGGACAGGGTGCTCGCGAACAAGACTTGTAAGTGAGGACGAGACGGAAGAGGTTGTCACGACGCAGCTGGGCTGACTGGGCTACCACAGGCAGTCCCATGTCACTCTATGACTTTTACATGTACTTGAAGCATATCGAGTACTCGCCTGAGAACCTCGAGTTCTACGTCTGGTTCAAGAACTACGAGGCCAGGTGGTCGAAGCACAGCCGCCAAGAAGACTACGAACCGGTAGAAAAGGATCTCAGCACCGCCAGCACCTATCAGGCGTCCGAGGGATACTCCTCCGAAACGGAGCTCGGCCTCAAGAGCGAACCTCTGGAGACCGTCGAACTGGCAGAGCTTTCAGCCGACCCCGAAATTGGTATGGTATCATGTCTCTCAGATGTGTCGATGCCCAGACTAACACAACACGCAGCCAGCGAGACGACGACACAGATCCTCGAGGTCGCTCTGCCCAAGACGGCCTGCACGCCGCTGACCAAGCCCAAGCGCACAGCCCGCGACCACCTCCGCGCCCTGACGTCGGCCTGCACCAACGCCTGCGCCCTGCCAACAGACGCGCTCCCGACGCTGCCAGGAACCCATCCCTTCGACGCAGCGCCGGAGCTCTCCTCCATCATCCAGACATACCTCCTGCCGTCGTCGCCCAAGGAGCTCAACATCCCGCCCGCGCTCCGCGACACAGCCCTCGAGGCGCTCAAGACGTCCCCCGCGCCGGTACACCTGGCGCCGATCGCCGGGCACGTCTACGACCTGCTGCGCACGTGCTCGCACCCCAACTTCCTCCGCCTCGGCGTCGCCAACGGCACCCTCGAGACCGTCTGCGTCGCGACCTCGCTCGGCATCGCCCTCACCCTGGCCGGCCTCCTCTTCACCCTGCTCCGCGCCTTTGTGCCCTTCCCAGGCGCCCACACGCGCCTCGTCCTCCTCGCCTCCTGGTTCTTCTGGTTCCTCGGCCTGAGCTTCATCCTCTCGGGCCTGCGCGGCAGCTGCTTCTTCCTGCTGCTCTTCTCGCGCCGCCAGCCCCTGCCGTGGGAGCGTTTCGACGACAGCGCGTCCCTGTCCTCGGTGCGGTCCGGCGTCGCCCGCGTGCTGGGCCGCCTCATGATCTTTGACCGCAAGCTCCGCGTCGGCGACGTCAACCTGCGCAGGCTGCAGCGGAAGATTGTCCTGCAGAGCTTGGCGGGCGGTGCTATTGGCGGCACCATCGGCGTCATGGTGTTTGCGTTCCTGCCGGTCTGGAAGGAGACTGTCAAGCTGTAATGGTGGCCTGTGCCTGTGCCACTGATTTGAAAAGGCAATATCAAGATGTAACGAGATCCATAGCGTGCAAAGTCAACTTGCTTTCGTTCCTCTTCAGATCCATGAGTTGGTGGTTGTGATGAATGTTCCATTATGCTAATATGGGTATCGCGTCGTGATGCAAGCTAGAAGAGACACGAAGGCTAATTTTATACAATGGATTAATATGCCTGGGAAACACGACATCTGGATGCGAATAGACTAGGTCCAGCGCGGCTCCCTCAGACAATGTCATCGCCGCGAATATTGTGCCCAGGTGCATGGCGAGGCCGGCTCGCCGCCGTGTCTGGAACTTGTACATTGCGATCCGGGCCAACAGCGGCGTTGCCTGTCGTCCTGGGAGCATAGGTCGCGCTGCTGCGGCCGCTGGGAGGCAGGGGCTTCTCGGCAATGGCTTCAGAACTCTTGGCCCATCCCGCCGACCGAGTAAAGACGCCATCGCGAGGTCCGTATCCCTTATCCAGAGTGTAGGCAAAGTCCTCATTGCGCTGCAGGGGAATGTGGTTGAAGCGCCAGTCCCAGATGGCGGCGTAGTTGCCCCGGTAGGCGGCAAGAGCAGCACCTGTGCCAATGATGCTGCCGGCGAGAATGTCGTACCAGTGGTGCGCCTGGTCGATCGTGAGCACGCACGCCTTGAGGAAGGCTCCGAGCAGGGGTGCGATGGTCAGGGCCACCTTCCAGAACGCAGGACGGTATGCGGCCCAGACCTTGAGCTTGGCGTTGAAGTAGAGATGCAGGAACACAAAGCCGGCAAAGGCCGTGGCAGCATGACCAGAAGGCCAGCTCGTCATGGCTGTTTTCAAAAGCTTCTTGTCGGGCTGGGTGCAAATTTCGGAGGTGTACATAATCTCGTGAAAGCCGACGCCGTTGAGACCCGTCGAATTATAGGACGAGGCGAGGGAGATATCGGGCATGCAGACGGCCAGGAAGTAAGGGCGGAAGCCCCCAATCAGGTGTTTGACAATGACACAAGAAAGCGTCTGGATGATGAGAGCCTGAATCACGCCCATGATGGCGTTGTTGGCGTCCCAGAAACTACGGACGCGGATCTGGGCGAGCAGGATGAAGACGATGGGAATAAAAGCAGAGATGAAGGCAGAGAGACCAGAGGAAATCATCCAGCCGCGCTCTGGGTAGGCAAGACTTGGGAACACAATGTCACCAGAGTCGGTAAAGGTGACAGGGAACGTTCGCGTTGCTGCTAGCGGTGCGGTGTAGATCTGGAGACGGCTGTCAGTGGACGGACCTCAATCGAGCTGCAAGACAAAAGGCGACATACCCCGAGCGTGGCAAAGCCCAGGACGGCCATGGTCAATAGGTCGAGCCACATGGTGCGGAGCCAGCCCACGAAGAAGTGGCCGCAGCTCTGACGCGAACGAACGGTGTCGCGGGTGAAGGTGGGCTGGATGCCATCGCCACGGATCCTGTCGATGATGGACATGATAGTGATAGCTCGCAGGGAGCCAGGAGCACGAAGGGGAAGTGATTTTACTGAACAGGTTCAAGGTGAGAGTGGTGTGGCGGAGAGGACACGATGCGTCGGCGAGGCCTGAGAAGATGCTGGCGCTGATGATGATATAAAAGCGCGGCTGATGGGTGTCTCTGGGGCCTGCAAGCCAAGACGGCAGCTGATGTCATGTTGTCTGCCTCTGTGTGCGCAGGAGCGAGCAGCCGCCAATGTGCGAAGATCTGGTGGTCGCTTGGCAAGTGAAGGTCTTTCTTGGGTGTGACGATGGACGCCCTGGCTGGGCTGATGTTGGTTGGCGGAGGATCGTCTGCGAGGGCCGGGGAACTCTGAGTGGTGACATGCCCTGGGCATGTGTGTGCTGGTCGTGGGTGCAAAACAGGGAAGCTGACAGGCAGGTGCACTGCAATTCAGAGTCGGGGCTATCTGAAGCAGGAGCGATCAGCGCGATGAGCCACTGACGTCAATCCGTAACAGCGCCATCGTTGGGGCCTGTGGCTGGTCGGTAGGTACCTTTTCTAGGCAGGTGGCATAGCACTTGTTCCTGCCTGTTCCTGCCTGTTCCTGCCTGTTCCTGCCTGTTCCTGCCTGTTCCTGCCTGTTCCTGCCTGTTCCTGCCTGTTCCTGCCTGTTCCTGCCGGCTCTTGCCTGCCTCTGCTTGCTCCCAAATGCGTTTTCGGTGCCATCTCCGGTTGGTTACGAGGCCAACCCCCAGTCTGCCTTCACAGCTCAACATGCCATCAAGATGGTCTCGTCCACTACATGCCAGCTCCTTGTGCCCAACTCTTTATACATGGAAACTTTTTTCTCACAGGACTGTTCGTGTCCATCCCAACCCTTGCTACCACACGCTAGACGCCCGAGCCCTGACCAGCATCAGCATGAGGACGCTGAAAATGCCACCTGTGGCTGCTCTGAGTGTGACTTATATTTCAGACTTGAGCACGTCCTGCGAACTTAAGTCTTCGCCTGGGGCGCAGCTCCTGCGTATGGCAGCGTATCTATCTATGCGGGCGTCACGGTGATGGACCACCAAATCAAAACTGAGTCGCCCTTGAGCCAGAAGCTGACCACATTGCAGCAACATTTGTACCGGTATCAGGTTGGTGGACCGAAATGTCTTGGAATAAGGTACCTCTCCTTGTTATTGCTGACATGTCCGGTCCCGCCTCGTTGCAGAATCCAAAGATCCAACGCTACTCAGCCTACGTCTTGCACGGTACTGTCGATATGAAGATGCGCTTCATCAATTTTTCTTTCGTTTCTCTGTGGCTCTTGGTTTTGTAGTACCGACAAATCTACATTTACCGTGATCCTACGTCGTACTTTCACAAGCCTGAAGGAGCGTACCGCAGCGAGTATTCCAATGCTAGAATCCTCGAAGCCCAGCAGTTTATCGAAGAACATGCTGGAGTACCCAGCTTGAGGACGAACCCAATACTCCACCCAACCGAAGAAGCAGCTTGGGACAAAGGCCTGGCATGGACGAGGGTCTCTTACACACCAAACTTTGAGTTGTTCCTCGTTCAGATGATCGAGATATCGGCTGACATGGAGGGCCCTACCAAATGGGGCATTAGTGCCGAGCGCCGTGCAGCATGTTTTCGATTTCTGAAGCAACACTAAGATATCTTTGGGTAGGAGTCGGGTTGGACAGAAACCTATCACCAGACGAGCCCCATCGTACAACATTGTTACGTCGCTTCCGTCCCCTATAGGCCGCGGCCTGCTACTGATGATGCTTGCTACCGAGACACGAACAGAAAATCCCTTGCTCCATGCGAACTGCGCTTACATATCGACGCTCCGATCCAGTTTTCGTCATCGCCATACTTACTCTCTCTCATCCCTGCCAAACAGCCTCGATGATGACAAAGAATGTCATGGGGTTAGCCTCGACCCTGACAATCTCAAACCTCTCATCAGCCTTGTGGAAGATCTCCTCCCAGGCCTTGACGGGCCTCTCTTTGGTTGCGAACAGAGCCATCATGCGAATGTCGGTCGACGTGCCCATCTGCTGGATCGACCGCGGCAACGGCTCGCCCTCCTGCTCGCCCTGCTTGCCGACGTAGTCGATGAAGAGCACACGCGCGCCGCGCTTGAGGCTCGGCCGCAGCGCCTGCAGGATCTGCACCGACTCCTTGTCGGGCCAGTCGTGCAGGATGAGCTTGAACATGTACACGTCGGCCGACAGGGCCTGTGGTTCGAAGAATGACTGCGCGTGGAAGGTGACGCGCGAGGCGAGCTCTGCCGGCCGGTTGGCTGTGAAGACGGGCTCGACCTCGGGGAGGTCTTGCACCGTGATCTTGAGGTTCGGGTAGGCCTTGGCCAGGGCAAAGTCGTCGTGGCCGCCCGAGCCGCCGAGCTGGGAGACAGATGGTGTTAGTGCTGTGACAAAAGTCAGGTGGCATGATGCAGAGGACATGACATACGTCGATGACAGAAATGTCGCCCGCGGCTTTCCAGTCGTAGGCGTCGAGGACAACCTGCTCGAGACGGAAGATGTCCTTGAGGTAGTTCATAAAGGTGACGAAATTGCGCGACCGCCACCCCTTCTTCTCGCCCTCGCCGTCATTCTCGATGTAGTCCCAGCTGTTTTTGTAACGGCCGAGCGGGCCGTCGTTGTTGTGCAGCACGGCAAAAGCTGTCTTGGTCATGTCTTGCGACAGCTCTGTCTGGCCCTTGCAGTGCTGCTCGAGCGCACGGTTCATGACGGTCATGGGCGGGCCGGCATCGTCGAGGAGGGTGGCGACGAGGGCGCGGAGACCTGTGTTCTTGGCGAGGGCAGCGGAGCGGGATGTGTGGCGGACACCCGAGGCTGGTCGACCTGGTGTGACTTCCGCGAAGAGGCGAAGCGTCGTTGCGTGCTCGAGGACGCGCTCGACGACTTCTTGCGGTAGGGAGGTGTGCTTGGCGATGGTAGCGTGATCAGCCGAGCCAACCAAGGGGACTGCGTCCCAGAAGTTGAAGTGGTTCAGAATGTTCAGCACGGCAACGTCAGGCATGGACTGTGGGGGATGTCAGATGCGTGGGGTAGGTAAGAATCCGGGGAGGGAGCTCACGTTGTGAACATAGTTGAAGATGCTCTCGCTTGGGCCCTGGGCGAGGTACCACATGTCTTGCAAGGAGTCGAGGAGCTTCTGTCGCAAGACAAAGGCCTCGGGCGTGATACCCTCATAGCTGGTCGGGCTATCGGCTTCGAAGGTTGGGTGGGGGATTTTGTTCTGTTCGAGGAACTTGGTAAAGGAGGCTGAGAGCTCAGTCACCTTGGCCGCAAGGCTCTGGAGGGTTTCTGGGGAATTAGACATTGTGTAAGAAGGTCGAATCGAATAGGGAGCGTGAGAGAAGCAGAAATCGTGAGTGATCGACACGGTCAATATGATCAGGGTCCCGGCTTTCTTTTTAACGTTGAACCCCGAATCACGACCTTGCGACAGAGTACTCCGGCCTCGAGTTACCCCTCCTCGCGCCCGACTAACTGCCCCTCCGCACTCGGACAATCACCATTCTGCAGGAGAAACTAAAACCGAAACCGAATACATGATCCATCCAGGTGTGCAAAGAAGACCAAGGTAGTGGCGGTAGTGGGTGTAACACCAACGCAAGGCGACGATCAGATAATCTTATCAGATCAAAACTGATGGAGATCGCACCAAATGCTAGGCCCGGTGGAGGCTAGACCGTTGGGATCTGTCCCAGGGGTGACATCAGTGCCGGCTCTATGACGTGGTCTTGCGGCATTTTTCAGGGCCCCAAGCAGAAGAAGAGAGAGAGCACATAATGCATAGGAGATTTTAGGTCGCAAGCCATTTGATGCGTGGCGCCGCCAGTGCCGCTCCTTGGCTTACTGCTCCCGTGGGGTTTGCCTCGGCACTTCTTGCAGGTGCCGTTCTGGTTGTACCGTCGTGGAATTTTGCGCCATGAGGGAGGGAGGGAGGCCTTGCAGCCCCATGCACAGCAATATCTAAGCGGAATGCGGGCGAGGATCTCCTGTCGCCTGCGGCAACCCTCGGGGACTTGGCGTCAGATCACGTCTTCTGCGAGATTAACACCGAGCGGCGTCGAAATCCGACGTGGAGGGGTGGCAGACCGATGGAGGAGAAAGTGGGATGGAGCAAGCCGGAACATAGCTTATGTGACATTAAGTCGAGACCCGTCAAAGGCGGATCTTTCTTCGCCGGGGTCTGATGGAGGATCTTCTTAACGGTTTCGCAGGATACATGTTTCACCCCAACCTCAGGTCCGTCGGTTAGACTTTCCTTACAGCTAACTCATCATCGTCGGGTACTTCCAGATATTCCCCGGGCTGGTTCCAGAGTTGAACCAAGGCCGCGTGGCCAGCGGCTTATATTTCTTTTCGAGGGTTCTCCTTGTTCTGCTGGGCAACGCGGGTACAGGTTCTCGTGACACACACTTTACGAGAGTCAATGATTACTATCAATGAATGCCGACGAGATAGATCCCTGAGATGAAGGTCCGAACCTGCTTCGGTTGAGGTATGGCCGGAAGTCAATTATTGGGTTCCGAGCTTGGTGCGAGAGCTGTGTCCTGTTCCGAGCCAACACCTCACTTTGTCTCGCGGCCGAGCTCGTCCGCCTGCGCTCCGCCTTCGGCATCCCTGGCCTTGACAGCCCACGCAAGCTCCTCGTCAGCCTGCACCGCCCGCTTCTCGTCCTCCTCTCCAAGCTTGACGTTCTGCGCTAACCAGGCCAGAAGAACGAGCACCGTACCGACGCACAGCGACCCGATCGCCAGCGTCTGCTGAGTCTCGCGGTATGCCTCATTGATGTCGTCCCTCTCCACACTACCGATCGTGTAGTTCTGCGCAACGACGATGGACCCAAAGATTTTGCGTGCCTCGGCTGCGGGGAACTTGGCGCGCAGCTTGCGCGGGAGGATCGAGTTCCAGATGCCGCCGCTGATGGTCGTGCCTAGGTTCGAACCGAAGCCCAGGGACGAGAGGTAAACGGCCGTGGCCACGGCGATTTCCTCATTGCCAACGGCCGCTTGGAGGGCAACTTGCAGAGACACCTGAGCGAGGCCGCGACCCACGCCGAGGAGCGACTTGACTGTGATGAAGGCAGGCTCGTTACCAATGTGCGAGCCCGATATGTTGGTGAGGTAGATTGGAAGACCCGCGGCAAGGAGGATGAGAACCACACCGATGGCGATGAATGGCTTTGTCTGCTTGAAGTACTTGAGCAACAGGCCGGAGAGCAGGGCGCCGACATTGTAGGCTACTCGCTGAGCGTTGTCGACGCGTGTCGCGGCGCCGGGAGAGTAGTCTCCGGCGACCTGCAGGAAGCTGGAGAGGAACGGACGGTAGACACTGTCGGACATGGCAATGAAGCAGGCTGACGCGCAGGCGATGATGACGTTGCGCGCGCGCATGGTGCGGTAGGGGATGATGGGCTTCGTTGCGTACTTGTAGTCCCAAACGAGGAATACAACAAAGGTCAGGACACCGACGATGATGAGCACAATGGACGATGCCTCCTTCCACTTGTCAGTGTCGCGGCGGCCGGCAATGGTGATGGGCAGCAGAGTCATGGAGAGACCGCCAATAAGCAAGAATGCGCCGATGAGGTCGAGCTCCGTGGCCAAGTGCTTGGCCTTGCCGACAGGACCGGATGGGGCGCCATGCATTAGGGAGACACGCTCGCCGATGAGACCCATGCGCTTGGCCCGGCGGCCCATCCAAATCATGATGGCGATCGTGGGCAGAGCTGTGACCGGCAGCACGATAGACCACATGCCATAACCCCAGCGCCATGACGCGTTTAGGAGGATGTGCTCTCCCAGATAAGTTCCGGCGTAGAGCGTCGGGATAGCGGTGATGGACTCGGGCAGCGTGAACAGAATGCCGCGGTTGACAAGACTGGTCACGTCGGCAATGAAGATCTGCTGGGTAATGTTCCACCACGTGTCTCCAAATGAGTCGAAGATTCCTCCGGCCTGTCAATGGTCAGCCGGGATTTCCGTCATATTGCGCCGCTATCCGTGCTTACAAGGAAAGTGTCCACGTTTTGACACGCTGCGAACATCATGTTGCCGATGGCCATCGACAGAGCTGCTCCAGCAAAACCTTGGGGTCGTCCAAAATGCTAAGTGCACCAGTTAGGAGGATTCTTGCAATAATCTTGTAGCCCCGTCCATCATTTGGGGAACTTACATCAGCGAGCTTAGCCAACAATGGATATGACACGATGCGCACGATGCCGTTGATAATGGAGCCGGTCGTAAGCAGAGAGTGGCCCTGGAAATGACTTGTTGCGTATGGCTCGTATACATTCTGGGTGTAACTCGTGAAGTTCATAAAGAAGTTCATGACGAGAAGACTGTGAAAGCATGAGAGCCTGAAGGTTGATCTGTGCTACAGAGTGCATCTTCTTACCCAGAAATGGCAATACCCAGCTTCTTCGGAGTCCACAGCTTTCGTAAAGCTTCAGCCGCGGTCCTGGGCCGTTCATTCGTCGTCTCGTGTACAGCGCCATCTTCGGCAACAGTCACGTTGGTAGCCGGAGGGTGCGTCTCTGCCATCGTGACTGATATCTCGACGGCTGTCAGGGGGTTGTTCGGCAATCAGAGAGAGGAGTTGAGGGGATCTGCAGGCAGGGCATATTAAACAGCAGAACCTGCCGGCTTTTAATGAATCTCGCTGGACTTCCACCCGACTTCGGTAACCTGACTTATCTGATCCGACCTTCGGTTATTTGGGTTCGGATCTGATTAGATGCTAAGATTGCTTCGAGTAAGAATCACGCCGATCCCAAGTGACGGACCCTCTCAGGGTCGCTGTCATACTGGGGCACCCCGTTGATCGGACCATGTTGGTGCATGACTTGGGTTTCACCCGACAAGGGACCTCAAAGAAAATTCTCATCCATAATGATAGCCGGGGCTCGGGAACACGCTGAGCCTGTGTACCATGACAGGATTCGATGCATTCTTTGATTCGGGATACTGCCAAGCTGAGCGACTGGGACACCAGTCAGGAAATGGCGTCGATCGACAATAGATGATGGAGCAAGTCAATTTTTGATCAGCTCTTGGTTGCATCTCCGCGTGTGCCTACGTATAAGATTCTCCTTATTAGCGCCAAAGAATCATCTGAGCAAACCAAGTTTCCCCGTCCGTGCCGACACCACGGCGAATAAGCTTGCTGTAGGGAGGCCGAAAGTGGAAGAAGTCGGGTCACATTTAAGCGACGCCAGCAACACGAGTAAGGAATCGTGACAGCTGTGGATACTTGAGTGACCACGACCAGGATGACAGGCAGCCGGGGTGCGTAAACACAGCTGCAGTTTTTGTCCCAGGATCGAGCTTGCCATGTGGCAGCCGGATCTACCAGGCTCTGACTTGTCTCATCGTTAACGTACACTGAGATGGCATACATTTTCTCGTCAGTCAAAATGTGAGAAGTAAAAGACATGCTCCCGATGCTCCCCGAAGCATCGAATCCTGCCTGCTGTGACGCCCGGCTTGACCCTGGCAATATGGCCTGTAAACAGGGATGATCCCCCCTCAAGATAGCGAGAAGAACGTGGAATGATACGGTTTGGCTGTCTCATTCCTTCCTATACCTGGTCTCTGCGACGAGTATTTCAATGTGCTGTGCCCCAGACAACACGAAACTAGTCAAGCCCTCAGATCATTGAAGAATTTCTGGCTCAGAAGCCACATATTCAACTACACATGGGTGAACAGGATCAATTGAGGAGATGAGGCAAGGCCTCAAGATATCAAGGCTGGTGGCCTCCATATGAGCGGCCGTTTCGGAGAGGCCTTCTTATTGATGAGCTAACGCAAGTCGCAATCCCTAATTCTTTCGTCGCCACGGTCAGGGCTGCAAGAGAAGTTTCTTCCGATTACCTTAGTTATTGTTGAGAGGGCTTCACTGCTTATGTAAACCCCAATTCAGTACTTTGGCTGTGCCTGCGAGCTCTGAATAGGTAGGGTAGGTGATATAAGACTTGTGATGTGATTGATGCTATCTCTCTGAATTACCACTACCTACCTGAGGGTGCTGGAGAGTCCTGCAGAGATGATCGGCCTGCTGATGCAAGGCTTAGACAATTTGAGGGCAGACCTCATCCCATTCAACCTGGCAGTCTCCGGGATGCTAACCTGGGCCCGCATCCTCCTGAGCCCAACCAAGGCATGAAGCAGAATCGTTGGCCTATGACCCTTCCATTGGGCGCCTCACCGTCAACTATGAGGTACCGACTGTCTCCCTGGCTGCCTTCCTGGCCTACTACCCACACTTCTTCAAGCTACATGAGCTGCACGGAATAGCTTTATTTATGCACCCATTCCGAGGTACGTGAATCAAATATACCCATCTGATTCACTGAACTTAAGCCGTGATTCACGTGCTCCTGAGAGCTGTGAATCCCAGCCCCGGTAATCACCATATAGGTGATCCCCTACAGTGATCACCGCCCTAGGAAATCCCCTAATATTGGTTCCACAGTTATGGAGATTCGAGTGTCGATTTTATGCGAGACCACCATGTGACCCAGCGTCAGCGTCTTTGGAATGACCATTAACTCGGTTGTCTGAGACCTTTTGACAGTTTGTTTTAGGAGAGAAAAATGAATGGTCTATCTCAAAAGCAACATTTGGTTCCGAGAATCCGCCCAGGATGGCTGAGGCGGCAGCAACTTGGCTGCACTGGAGGATGCAGAGGGGGTCCACTGAACAACATTCTGGACAACGGTGATCGATGGGAACCTCGACGGTCAACTGCGAAGGACGTGATTCATAGTATTTCATGTTGAAAAGCACTTGTTAATTGATTCAGAATCGATTACCAATGTATTACAGCAGTATAGGATGAGCAAACCCCTGCGCTTACGGCAAACTTCAAAACATATGGGGTGTCGTCGCTATCAGTTCCGACCTCGATTTTCGAATGCCCATAGCTGCCCAAACCGACTGCCCTCGAGGGTGGCCAAGGCCCGTGGATTGCCCGTCTCGACAACCTCCCCCTTATCAATAACGACAACGTCATCAAAGAAGTCCATGACCATGTCCAGACGATGCGAGACCATGATGATGGTATACTCCTTGAACTCTTCCCTGATGATCCCTTGCATAGTGCGATCAGTCTCTCGATCCACATTCGAGCTCACCTCATCTAAGAGAAGTATGCCACCACGACGTCCTCCTAAGCTCCGGTCCTTTACCCGTCGTCTCAAGATAGCCCTTCCAAGGCTGAAGAGCTGTCTTTGACCCGCACTGAGGCTATCGCTGCTCATCCCACTGTGGACATCGTCGTTCATCTCCGCCAGGAAGCCGCTAAGCAGCACGGTATCGAGAACCTCCCGGCATTCAAGATCAGTTGCGACGTTAAAAGGGTCGAGGTTGTCCTTGACGCTGCTACCACTGGGAAGAAAGACGGCGTCCTGTGGCACTGCGATGATACGACGGCGGAGCGCATCCCTATCGATGGAGTGGAAGGGGATGTCGTCGATCTTCATGTTCTGGGAACAAGATGACAAAGGGTCGAGTAGCCGAAGAAGCACAAGAATAAGGGACGACTTTCCACTGCCGCTTCTGCCACACAAGACGACCTTCCTACCGGCCTCGATAGACAGAGTAACGTTCTTCAGGGCAAGATTGCTCTGTGAAGAAATCTCTTGCTCAATGTCTCCGGCACTGACTTTGTAGGATGCTGAGACATCTCGGAGTTCAATAGTGCCAGCTTGAGGCCACTCCACGGGAGGTTGGTGGTCTTCATTTTCGCGCTTCTCGGACACAACTGATTCCGAAAAGCTCTTGATTCGCGAGACGGCGCCAATTGAGGTCTCCAGCAACGTGTAGTTACGGATGAGCCAGGTGATCACATCACTCAGCGACATCAATGTCACCAGAGATGCACCTGTGAACCCTGAATTGCCCCCTGTCTGTGTGGCCAATGACACGATAATGATGGCAACAATGGCAACAAGGATCTCCATGGTGAGACTGAGCCATCGCTGTATCATGGCGAGAAGGTATGATGGTCGTTGCGAAGTGTTCAGCAACTGCTGATTATGCGTCACATGGTCGGCCATCCAGCCGAAAGCTCGAAATGTGCTGATTCCCTTGATTGTGTCAAGATAGTGGGTGCTAGATCCGTCAGTTGTCCGCCTTTTGCAATCGGGATTGATGACCTACTAAAGTGGACTCTTTGCTTCTAGGTCGAGCAGCCGAAGCTGTCGCGATGTGCGCAGGTAGAACCTTTGGATCACCCATAGCACAACTGCAAATATGGGATAGCTGATTGCAAGATATGGCGATGCGGTTCCCACAACAGCAGCCATACCCATGACCTGGAAGATATCGATAACCGTATTGAGCAATGCCAGCGGAAGCTCGCCATCGATGAGAGTCATGTCCTGGGAGAACAGGTTTGTTACTATGCCCATATCCGTAGTTGTGAAGAAGCTCAATGGTGCATGAACAACTGTGTCAATCGCCTGGTGGTGCAGAGTTGTGCCAGACTGGGTAGTGATCCATACAATGATGGTAACGCAGACTATAAAAGACATGATGGAGTGAGTTGCTTTCAGCATACCGAAGATACCCAGATAGAAACTGGTAGGCCTGTGGAAAGTGTCTTCGGACCAAAATTTCAGCCATGCGGTCGCCATACTGTTGGCGAAAGCGTGGATGGCAGCCGAAGCGACCAGCACCACCAGGGACCATTTGCTCAGCGAACGCATGTAGTGGCCATAAACCTTCATGTCCCCTGTTTTTCGCGAAAGGTCGTCCGATCGACTTCGTTCGGCGTTCTGCACTTGACGTTTTGGTCCCGGAGTAGTGGAAGTTGGGGCGGCTGTATCCCTCTCTTGCGTGCCATCTTCATCCGAGGACGCCGCAACGTTCAGGTTGGCGACATACTTCTGATTGCGGATGAGGTCATTGAACGAACCCTCCTCCACGATTACACCACCCGTGTCAAGGGCTATGATGTGATCTGCTTGAGGAAGATGATGAATCGAGTGCGTGCACAGAATCGCAGTGGCGTTCCGACGGCGAAGAACACCACTAGGACCGAATACACGACGGAAAACCTCATTGGAGGTATCGTTGTCGAGTCCGCTTAAGATATCGTCAGAGAGAATTAGGTCTGAATGGAGATAGAGTGCGCGAGCAAGTGAGACGCGTTGCTTCTGCCCACCACTCAGCGCTATGCCGTTGCTTCCAATGTTGGTTTCGTCGCCCTGAGGAAGTATTGTGAAGTCTGGGAGAAGCATACAGGCTTCTATGACTTCTTCGTACCGAGGCTGGTCGAAGTTGGAATATCCCATGATGTTCTCTTTGATCGTGCCGTTCCACAAGAACGGAGCCTGCTCACAGTACCCAATGGCCGCGTGAGCGAAGGGCAGCTTGATGTTCCCGCGCGAGAAAGGCACCTCGCCTAAAAGCGCATTACACAAGGTTGACTTGCCAGCAGCTGTCGGCCCAACGACCAGGGTAAGTTGAGACACAGGGAAGCGAACGTTGACATGGTTAAGGATCATCCGGTCTTCCGTCCAGCCGAAGAATCCATCCTGGATGGTAATCGAGGTTGTGGCGTCGGGGGTTGATGGCTTTTCGTTGTATTCAAGACCGCTGTTAGACGGTTCATCCGAAAACGACTTCTCGAGTATGTTGGGTGTTTCGTGGCGTCTGACGTCTTCCCGCGCATCAGCCTCGATGAATGCTTGGATGCGACTCAAGCTTGCCAGGCCGGCGAACATCATCGGCACAGCCTGGAAGAGTTGAGATAGAGGCGAAGTCAATAAGATCAAGAACGCAATAGACGTAAACATGTTCGTCGTGTTGAGCTCGCGAGTGGTGAAGGCCAGAGCGGCAACAGGTGACAGGATCGCCGGCGTCATGGCAGCCACAACAGCCCAAATAATGAGCCAACGGGATTTGTTGCCAGTTTCCATCTCGTGCACTCTCATCTTCTGGATGAAATCACCAACCGGCAGTGTGATGCCGCTGATCTTCAGGCTCTTCATATTCGAAATGACGTTAGCCGTGAGCCCGACTCTTTTCTGGATCTGGCTCATCCATCTGACCTGTCGGTCTCCTGACAACCTGCCGACGATAAATGTACCGATCGCACAAAACACAATGAGCACAATCGGGGCGATGAATGATGTGCCAAGCTCCCGCTGTAAGAACCAGCATCCAATTGCAACCTCGATAGGACTGGCCCAAAAGTCGTGAAGCTGGTGGAAGCCTTGGATAACGCGGTCCGTATCAGTACTCATCAGTGTGACAGCCGCCGCCTCCCCAGCGTTGGCGAGCTTGGCCTCGGTTGTCTTTTTGTAGATCGCGGCCGACAAGCAACCGCGGGCCATTTGCTGAGCCCTCATATGGAAGTACCATTGTAGCGCTCGAGCGAAAGCCGCGCCACCATAGATCAACACCGCGGCACCGATGAGGCCGTAGCTCGTGCTACGAGGAGCATTTGGTTCCTGCAGATATTCTAGGAGGGCGCGGATGAAAAGCGGTTGACTAAAGCTGAACCCGATCAAGGCGATTCGGGGTGCGATGGGCATGATGTATGGGATGGCCAGGGCTCTGGCAAGCGATCGAGCCAAGCCAAGCTTCCTGCCGGGCCGCGACCGCTCGATCACAGCTTCAAGTTTTCGCTGGAGGAGATCCGAGTCAATGTCCTTGTCCAATGGATACAGGTCGTCGATGGCCAGAACATGACTGTAGCCGTAACGGAACAACTTGTTCAGCCAGAGGTAGACAGTCAGACTCATCACATCACTCGTCTCTTCGGGGCTGTGCTCATCAATCTTCCAACGGAGCCAACGAGTTTTGCTCTTCGTCTCGACAATGAGGATGGCGAACTTCGTTACGACGGATGCTGTGTAGAGACGGGCAATCATCTTGGAGGTAACGGAGCTCGCCATGAGCCATGATGTTCGCACCTGGACGGCATCGCAGAGCGTCTGCAGCAGAATGTACAGAATGAGTAGTGTCGATGGGCGCGGGACTCTGGAATGCTCAAAGAAGGACAGGGCAAGCATAGACAGCGCAACAAGGAAGTTGACTGCTGTTGAGGCAATGGCGAAGCCATCGAGGCTAGAGGTTGGGGCCGCCGTCTGAAGATTCAGCAACGCGAATTGCAGAGTAGCCAGTATTGTAATGGCTGTCTATTGCACATCCTCTGTCAGCACAATATCCACAGTGGGCAGGTTGTCGCACCTACCAACTTGGCGTACTGGAAGGCGACACCAGACACAAACCTCGGCTGTTGCGAAAGCCATATGGCGCGCGGAATAGACAGCGCCAGAAAGAAGGTAGCAGGAACCATGGCTAATATGATGCGCTGAAAGCGAAGAGTAAAGTCGAAGTCATCACGGCAGCCTCGAACAATGGGGCCGAAGGTGTCGTCGTTGAGGCATGATGTTACCATGTCGTGCTTGGTAGATCCGTGAAGAACTTTAGGGGTCAAGGTATGGCGAGAGCAACTGAACTCCAGGCAGCGCGCAGTTGATGGTAAGGAAGACCGCAAAAGGTGTGTAACATTCAAGGCCCAGGTCAGTTGAAGAACGAATTCCTACTTCATACGCGTCGCCATCCGGGCCGGGCGGTCGGCAACAGGACTCGTCATCGGCAGTACAAAGAAATAGGCACGAAAGGTGCTGCCTAGGCTGCACGATTGCTCTCAAGCGCAAATGGCCTCAGTACGGGATCTACACACCGCTTACGTCCTGTTTAAGGCGTGGGTGTGGCACAATGCCTCTTTCACTAATGGCCCTGGTAATGGCGAGCAAACGGCCTTCTATCACCCCAAGCACCCCTGCACCAAAGATGTCACATCTAACCAAAAGCCATTCTCGAATCAACATGATTGGGCGCTTTTCATTGCGGCCATTGCTTCCATGCACTGAAGGCAAGTCGAGCTTCCAACAGACGCACATCTGCTGACGGCTTACGCAGCCAAGGAAGCATAGTGGTACATCTTCGCCACAGGAGGCCAAGATCGGCAGCAATTCCCATGGTCAATCCCGCTGGCAGTCGGGAGAAAACAGTAAGGATTGGTTGGGGTGAAGGCAATCGCTAACCCCAGCGAACATGTTCGGGTGGCTACCTATCGTTTCGTTGCCCAGCCCCCTCAAATCTGTGGAGGTTGCCGCTAAACCTACAATATCAAGGGTCTAGGGGCCCTCTGATACGCGTATAGTCCTTCTGGAAGCGCACCTCACCCCGTTGACATGTTGGTCCATCTGCGTGTCACTCAACTGGCTGCGCTGTTCGGCTCGCGCGGCGACACCAGACATAGAGGAAACGTGATGTCACTTCACTTCCCGAATAGCTTCAGAAGGGTAGTAGCCTTGAAGGCCTCGATAGGCTACGTTACATGAGCTTCCATGCGCGGCCGAGGTGCCAGCACTCGCATTCCACGGCCAGATACATGTTTGACCTCAGCTCGGCAGCGCAAGACAGGCAGGACAGGAGGCCACACAAACCTCCCCAAATCTACTGGCAACGTGGGCATCATTATCCAGACACCCATTCAGTCAATCGGCGAAGAATGTTAGCAGGGTCGGAAACTTTCCAGTTCATCCGCTACAGGTGTCTTACATAGACGGTACAACGGTTGTGGGCGCACCCAGGTCTCACCTCACCCTGACAATCGTTGCACCCTTCTGAATCCCATCGTATTACAACTGAACCCCCAAGATGATGTCGTGATGCTCTTAAAGGGCCAGTCGGCCACACACGTCCGCTGTGGGACCTTGATCAAATCCACTCGACTCTAAGTTTTCTTGAAATGAGGTTCTCCGCCGCTTTTTGGGGGCCTTGCCTCGCCCTTCTGCTGCCTGTGTCGGTCGCCGACGTTGTGGTGCTTCCAGGGGGCCTCCCAAAGTCGCACATTGGCCGTGGGGCGGTCAAGAACGCCGACGACTTCTTCCGCCAAAGCATGAGTAACGAGTTCTACAACAACTCGGCCGAAGTCCTCCTCTCCTCCTTCAATCACAACGTCAAAGACAGCGCCTCCCTGTCAATCGGTGATGGAGTGCGTCCTTCAGCTGACAGCTTCGTCCGCGGGGCAATCCAGGCCTGGGGCGAGCACCTGCATTTCGTCGTCCGCCCCGAGGAAGTGTGGTTCACCATATTGGTACAAATGAACTTCTACATGATATCTCACGCTGAGGACATCAGGGACTTGTTTGTCGATCATGAAGGACAGGAGACTATCACGATCGAGGATTTCACCTGGGAGCAAGTCCTCATACGTTTCCAAGACGAGATTCAAGCCCGCGTCAAGACGGATTGGCTGCAGAATTGGATTACGCCGGACTTCACCACCACAACCCAGGACGATCTCATGACAGCCAATATACTCATGATGGGGCTGACAAAGGCCTATTTCAGGTTCGAAGGCGGCATCATCTGTGGCCTCCCTTCCGTTACACTACAGGGAGAAAAGTCGGATTGGGAGGCTCTGCTCGACAAACTCGCACGGCTCCCGGAATTCGGCGAAGAGGCTACCGCATATGCTGAACGCCTCCGGCCCATCCTCAAGCGCTTCATCAAATCGTTCGACGAGCCGGACAGTTCGGAGACGGTGCAATTCTGGAACGACATCGTGTCCGCCAGATCCGAGTTCTTCTGCGGCGCACCGCCTTTCTACATGTCCGGCTGGATCACAGGGTTCTACTACTGGAATGACCGAGGTGAACCCTACGCAAGGAACAGCGCTGAGGGCGACCTCGTTCTTGACGGCGTGCAATACCCGTCTCTCGACATTGGGACATTGCCCGTCGGGTACGCCAGCGCGCCTTTCGTGATGCTGGACTATAACGGCACAGACAGATTCGAGTCATACGTTCTGGCCGGGACTTTGGGGAAGAAGATCACGAGCGGCCCCCCCACAGGTTACGCCAAAGCGATGGAGCGCATCGGGAGCTACAGCAGCGGTGACACAAAGGGTCACAGCACCTTGCAGTCGCTGTCAGCGTGGGTGGTGATTGGACCGAAGAGTCACGATGCCGACGAGAGGCCGCCGTGGCAGGGTGAGGTTGAGCTCGCGGACCTGATCGGATCCATTGACAGCAACTTTGAGGCAGATAAGTGTGGTTCGCGAGGGGCTCGGTCATCGGCGCCGATGAGGATCGGGTAAACTTTGCTGCTTTCTTGTCTCAAAGCGCTTCGGGGCTCGGCGACCATGAGCGAAGTCGGCGGACGTGGTGTCGGTGTGCTGCCGACCGTTGGTGTGTTTCTGTTTCGCGTGCTTATCTTGCAGGAAGACGCCATCAGGACAACATCACACCATCAAACGCACTCAAGTCTTGAGTCAGCATAGACGATATAAATAATTAAGTGACGATTGTTTTGGACAGTGGCTTCATTCGTTCCCATGAATTATGAGCTTGAACTGCAGACAAACCATTAAAACTTGAAATTATGACAACCACAGCAAGAAGGGTAGCGGTGATTGGTGCTGGCCCATCTGGTGCCATCGCCACCGACGCCTTGGTCAAAGAGCAAGCGTTCGACACCATTCGGGTCTTCGACAGAAGAGGGGCTATTGGTGGGACATGGTGAGTTTCCGGTGGCACTCATTGTACGATCGTTGTAGTGTGCTCACTCGAAGTCCACAGGGTCTACACCCCTCACCTGCCCGCCAAGATCCCATCACTGCGAGATCTCATCGCGGGGAACGCTGACCATGCTGTGCCCATACCAGCACAACTTCCAGCAGAGACTTCGAAGACGGAGAGAGTCAACAATCATCAAACACGGTTCTCAGACTCGGCGCTTCATGAGAACCTCCACAGCAATATCATCCCCTCCATCATGAGCTTTACTCAGGAGCCCTTCCCAGATAAGCTGTCGGAACGCACCCTCGCCAAATATGGACCTCGGGCTCCTTTCAGACACCGTGAGGTTGTGCGAGAGTGGGTTCAGGAAATCTTCGTTCGCAACGGCAACGACAAACTACTGGAGCTTAATACAACGGTTGAGCGGGCAGTCAAAAATGAACAGCAAGAATGGGTACTGACGCTTCGCAAAGAGACGCCGGGAAAAGACTACTGGTGGGAAGAAAGATTCGACGCTCTGATTGTCGCAAGCGGCCACTACAATGTCCCCTGGATTCCAGACATCCCAGGAATCGTCGATTTTGACGTGAGATTCCCGGGGAAGATCCAACACAGCAAGCATTTCAGAAGTCCAGAAAGCTTTGCAGGAAAGGTTCGCAACCTCATACACGGCCAGGCCTAGTAGAGCTAATGACGGTCTTAGCGAGTGGTCATCGTCGGAGGGTCTATCTCATCCCATGAAGTCCTGCATGAAATTCTTCCTAAAGCAAAAAAGCCGGTTTATGCAGCTTTAAGGGGTGATCCTGTCCCAGCCTTTGGGTGGGCGCCTTTTACACACCCGCACATTGTTGTCAAGAACGAGATAACGCGCTTCGATCCAGGAACTGGAACACTGTTCTTTGCTGATGGATCATATCTGGATGATGTAGACCACGTCATATTTGGCACCGGCTACACTTTCAGCTTGCCATTCTTGCCTGACGTTCAGGCAAAGATAAAACAGGCCAATCGCCGGCTGCCTGGAGTCTTCCAACACACATTTAGTATTGACGACCCGAGCTTAGCATTTATTGGCATGGTAAGCTTGGCAACATTCTACTTGGCTCAAGCTCAGGGTTCGTAGCTAACAACTGCCCTCCTCAGCTTGGTGGCGGTTTTACATTTCGTGTGTACGAGTGGCAAGCGGTCGCCGTGGCAAGACTCCTCGCAGGGCGCGCCCGGCCTCTCCCTCCACGTTCCGAGCAGCTTGAGTGGGAACAAAAGAGGGTGGCTGAACTGAAGGGAGGCAAGAACTACTACTCAATCGCTTTAGATTACGTGGGCTTTTTTGAGTATCTGCGGTACATCGCAGGCGACCCTACCCCAGGCACAACAGGCAGGGTACTCCCACCCTTCGACAAAGCATCTCTGGCTATATGGACGGGCATGGTGGCAACCAAGATCAAGGGATTCGAAGAAGATGCTCGGAAAGCAGAGTTGGAGATTCGGAGTCAGCAAGAACACGAGACCCAGCAGCGCCTGCGGGAGATTATCGGAAACTGGAGTCCCAGAGCAAAGCTATAGTTTGAAACTGCTACCAGCCAGTCCTGTAACAGTTGCTAGTTTATTGAAGATGGTTGAAGCTAAGGGAACGTGGAAGCATTGTCATACAATATCCAACCACAGAAAGACAAGACCGTTATGAGAAGCTAATGTGAGTGAGGATCTAATCTTGTCCTGGTCTGTACAAACTCATCGAAAGCTTTCATTCCGTTTCACTGCCAAGAAGGTTAAGCTCCAGTACTGCACAACATTGCTTTCTGTTGGATTGACGCCCGGGGGCGGCGGCAAGTCACCCAGTGCGACAGCATTGAGCGTGTCATCAGCATAGCGCCAACTCCACACCTCGGAGCCCAATATCCTGGAGTTTTCTTCAATCACATCCCAGAGTCTGTTGTACGCTGTCGTAACCTTCGGAAAGAGTGTTTGGTCCTCACAAAAGTCAGGCACAGACTTGCTTCTGCACCTGTCAAGCTGCCGTTCTAGACCAGCTGCCATCATAGAGAGCTGCCATGACCAGACAACAGTTCCGTGATAAGCCGAGGTAGTGAAGTTTGCCGAGTAGACTGGCTTTCCACCATACGCAGGGTTCGCGACGAGCAGCCCAATGTTGGTGGTCAGTCCCGCAGGGAACGGCTGAAGAATGTGGTCAGCTGTTTGAGACAAGTAAGAGCTGAGTTGTGTCTGGTTCGTGGTGTTAAGAAGGAAGTGCCTGAAGCCGTCGTCGGAATTCATGACGCGCACCAAGTCTATATCATTATTGCCCTTGAGCGCCAGGCCATAGAACGTGACCGAAGAGTTGATTCCGTCAGCCTGCGAAGGGAAGGAAAACCCATTTGAGTCGACATAGTCGTTGAGCAACGCGCGGGCTTCATCTTTCTCAATAGTAACCTCGAAGAAGCGTAGAGTCTCATCTTCCCAGATCTGAGCTGCCGCTGTCGCCGTCTCAGCCCACTCAGGGTGTTCTGGAAAGAATGAAGCTTCGGAAAGAGCAGCAATGGCCCGAAGGCCAGCCGGGGCTATGGCAGTGTTGACATTGTACGGTATATGACCGCCGCCAAGGCCGTAAGTGCTGTCGCGCCATTCGCCAGTGATCTCGCCCTCTTTGAGATGAATGAGATTATCCCGTATCTGCCCGCCAGGACCAGCAAAGGCAGCCGTTGCATTCATGATCTTCTCGGCGTTGACCAGAGCTAGATCGTGGTATGTGTGGCCGGCATTATCCGGGTCAATGGTAGCTTCGGTAGACATGAAGGTGACTGCACGCTCCCGACCATCGGAGTTGTTGATGAAGTAATCCCTCAGAAGAATAGGGAGGAAGTAGTCCGTGTCGATCATGTGGTAATCATAAGACGGCGCTGTTGAACTGATGTTTTTCTGCAGGTTAAACCATGTTGCAAAGTCACCGATGCCTTCTTCGTGTGCAGCGCTTCCATCTGTCCTGTTGATGCGCTCCAGAACAGCACCAATACCGGCTTCGAACGTTCCACCGTCTCCTGTGCTCAGGATTTTCTCCATCAGCAACATGGAAATCATGCTGTCGCGACCGAAGTAAGTTAGAAACCGCCAGCCACCAGCGAGGAGTTTGTTCTTGTAGGACAAGAATGATAGAGATTCGACTTGGTCTGATGACTCAGAAACTAAGTCTTGAGATACTTGATTCAAAGTCTCCGTTGGGCCAAGTTGCTCCAGTTGGGGATAATTAAAAGATGCATTGAAGGCGTAAGTCCCAGCTGAGAACTCAACGGAATTGTTGTTTACCGTTATGGAGGCATCACATCCAATAGGGACGAATGCCAGCGTAGTCGTCGTTACGTTGTCCAGCCACAAACGCGACAAGATGACGCTAGATTCATCTGACACTGTGACGTTGATGGCGTCCTGGAAGATAGGGTATAGGAGGCTGGGCCCTTCGGTAAAGTCTCGTATTGTACGAATACTCCCAAGGATGGCTACGACCAGTGACGCCGAAGAATTGAACTCGATGTGCCCTCTCACTCCAACTACAGGTTTTTTTGTATTACTCGAAACCTCGTAAATAGGGTCGAGGCTGTTGCCGGAAGTAGAGGAGTTGACCAGGTTGATAGAAAGTGTTCCGTTAGCGCCATCCAGTGGCTGAAAGAACGATACGACGCCACTATTTCCAGCAGGCCAAGCGACCTAACCCAGGAGTCAGCTTCCTATGCCGCAAAAGATGAAGCGACTTGAGAGGATCTCACTAAAAGTCGTGGCCCGATGAGAGTAAGATTACTGCCCGGAAGAGGACTTGTCACTACGACTTGGGAAGCCGAATTGCAGTCCGAATAAAAATAATTCGTATATGGGGGGTCGTTGAGTTCAAGACGGACTGCCTCTTCATCGCAAACGCCAGCTGCACTACAAGTGCCTCCGTGGCTACAGGAATCCATGAGCTTTGACGCTCAACGTATGCTAATTATGGTCTTTGAAAACTTACTGTCGCCGTTGAACCCATGGGGTTTTGGTGCAACAGCCCCTGAGAAGCAGAGTAGCCCCTGTAACAAGGAGTGATAACTTCATGTTCGCAAAGATTCGGCAATATGGACGTACTAACTTCTGAAGGAAACTTCAGGTTTGCACATTGGCTCACGTGGATGAAGACGGAAACTGTCCAGGAACAACGTTTTATCTGCCGTATCGGCATAGAGGACCGTGGGCATGTCGTCATGTTCGCGAAGCCGGCCTCCGACGATTCTCAAGCTAACAACTCATTGCCGAGCCGGGAAAGGACATGTAACCAATGATGGTCCCTTTTCATGTCGAGAACTTGGAACATTACCCTGGTAATAATGCGCTAAACCTTAGCTTTTGTCTGTCCGCCATACATCATCGCTGTCCCCGCTCGACCAAGTGATCAACCAGCTTTCATGGTGTGCAGCTAAGATCAACATTGAACAAAGAACCGCGGTTGCGCCGTTAGATCATGGCGACCATTCCTTGGGGTACGAGGATGCGGGGAAGTAGAAGGTTCAACCTTGATCAATTGAGGACAGGTGATGGCTTAATCATCACGCTAGATACCTAGGTCGAAGATTCGTGTTGTCTACCATGGATTTACAGTGGTGGTGTTGAGAGGGCTTCACTGCTTATGTGAACCCCAATCCAGTGCTTTGGCTGTGCCTGCAAGCTCTGAATAGGTAGGGTATGTGATATAAGACTCGTGATGTGATTTGATACTTGATTGATGCTATCTTTCTGAATTACCGCTACCTACGTGAGTCAGATATACCCGTCTGATTCACCGATCACGTAAGCCGTGATTCACGTGCTCCTGAGAGCTGTGAATCCCAGATATCACTATCCTAAATCACCGCCCTAAATCCCCTAATATTGGTTCAACAGGTGGAGTCATTTTATGGTGAAATATCCAACGCAATATTTGAGTCCACGCTGCATTTTTCCTCTGGTGAACATTACCTTAAAAGGTAGATAAGGTAACAATGGCTCAAAGCCTAGAATTTAATCCCTACTACGCCAGGAAACTGTTTGGGCGTTGAAGTCGCTGCCTGACTGACCGACCATGGATCTGCAGAAATCCCAAAATAGCTATGACATCAGATGACAGGCAGCAACATTGTGTAAGGCTGACTAGGCCACAACACTGATAAAGACAAGGCACCTCGTCCAGTACACTTTTCCGCCCACACCCGTTACATCTTTCGACAGCAACTAAGTCAATGATTTCTAGCCTTCCCATCATCAGATCTCTCGTCTCTCGCCATGGTGAGCGATCAGTCCATTGCGAGGGGCTGCTTGGACCTCCTATCAGGGATTGAAAAGACAAAGTTAACAGTAATCGGGCTCAGTCAGAGTATAAAACGAGCAGAAAGGGCGCTTCTTGAGGCGGTCAAATGGCTGTCAAGTCTTGCGACAGTGGTCGAAACGATGAGCAAAGAGGCGGCTGCCCAGCCTCACAGCACGCTCTTGCCCACCACCTTGGTCACTGGAATCAACTCAGCAATACAGGGATGCCACGCCACAGTGATTGACCTGCAGAGCTTGCTAGAAGATCCAGTGACTGATGGGGATGGGGATGTCTGGAATGCAGAAATCACGGCTCAGGTCATCAAGCTGGGCGGACAAGCGCACTCTGAACTTGACTCTTTGAAAATTGCGTTGGATCTTTGCACATTGTCAGTCTTGGTTCATGCTCAGCCAGGAAATCCTAAGCACAATCCACTAATATGCGAATTCAGTGCTTCTTCGCGCTACTTACAAGCCGATTTATCATTCAGGAGCGATGGTTCAAACCTATTAACAGTAAAACATTCGATCATTGAACAGGTAGCGAATCTCAAAGGGTTCTCCAGGGAAGAAGGGAAGAGTCTCGGGGGTACAGAACCAAAAAGTCAACAACTCCGCAACAAAGTTTCCTCCATAGCCGCCAACAGCAACGCTCCTACACGTCACAGAATACCCACAAGCTTCTCAGAAGTGACTCAAGAAGGCTCATTTCAAGATTTAACATTGTGAGTTCTGCATGGAACGTCACTCCCGCAAGATGGAGTAATATACTGCCGTTTCACGACTAACCCTTAAATCGAAAGGGCTCACAGCAATGAAGAGGAACCGCTTCAGTCAAGACCTTCTAATGACTGCGTTGCACAGCAGGTCGGATCTCAGAATGACAACAAGCCTTTGCAATCTTTGACACTGCAAGCGCTACCTATCAAATCAATCCCCCGACCTCCTGAAAGTACAAATTTCAAACCGAAGATCTATTTCCCTCAGTCTACATGGCTTCTGAGCATCTGCAAAACCTTGATAGAGGCATACGATACATCTAAACCAACAGAGAATAGACCCATGTGGGCTATCCGAGACGACACCCCGTCTATTTCAGGAGGTCAACCTGTTCGTTTCACCGACGCACCAGTATTCTCTCCCGACTTCAGCCTCATCGGAATTCCAGTCAACAGCGATACTCAAGGAGAAGTCTTAATCGTCCGCTCTTGCGATGGTGTCTTGAGCACAAGAGCATCTCTCAACGCCGGTGACACATTGAACCCGGCGATCAGTCACAGTAACGGCATCATTGCCATCGCGAACGTTGCACCTGACCAGGAAACTTTCACATTCCACCATATTGAAACTGGGAGTATGGGCCTACTGAGACCGTTCCGCACAATTGTTTGTCGAGACAGACAACCCGTGCATGCCCTCCAGATGGCATTTACCCCCGATGACCAACACCTGATCGTGTGGTCGAAATCAACGTCCGAGGAAGACGACCCCAGCACCGCTGGAAGTAAAAAGTCCAAGAAATGGCTTAAAGAGCCGATTTCGATCCGTGTGTTTCAGATTAGCAACGGCGCTTGCGTCCGCTACATGGAACCACCTACATATCAGTCCTTCAAAACAGCTCTTACTCCCGACACAATGTTGAGCCGGAGCGTGTTTGCATTCCCGCGGCCAGGTCAATGGCTCGTGGCATTCAATGAACAGGGAAGCGACCAATATCGATTCATGGACGCCAAAACGGGCCAGACGGCTTTCAGGGTGGTGCCCAGGCAAGGTGCCAGACAGTTATGGCAGGCCGGCACTAGTCGAATCACAACAGAGCACATGGTCGTCGACAATGAAACGGAGACTTGCGTCTGCTACCAAGAGAGGTTGTCCTCCAAGGAGAGAATCATATTGGTTATGCGGCATCGGTTGGCTGAACATCAGATCTGGAGCCCCGTGACGAATTGGGCTACCATCCTCATCAAAGCTTCGATCCCAGACCGAGGAATACTGTCTGGCGACGGCAGGCGGCTCTGCATATTTCGACGGGACGAGCGCCGATTCGATATCTTTTCTTTGGACTCATGATAATGAGTCCAATGGCAGCTATTTTGGTCAGCGGCTCGGTTTACCTGAGTCGGTTAAGTTGGTAAAGTCGAGGTAGATGGTGATCGTCGGTTTCCCTTGTCTCATTGTGGTGCATTCTTGCGCCATCAAGACCATGCCTCATGGTGCGAGATACCACCAATCCCTGTATCCGCCCAGACATTGGACTGCATCTCTCCGACCGAAATAAATGACGAATCGCGTATGGCCTCTACAGCTAGCTGGCGTGGCATGGACTGTGGAGTTTATGTTCATTACAACAACCTGAGCCAAGGACATGCACATGCTGGCCCGAATAGACGCAGCACACCGACAGCCGACCTTCACGCCCGACTTCCATGTTACTTGACCATCTCGTAGATTGCGTGATGCTCTTATCTTACGCTTGCTGTCATTAGATTCGACAACATGAACCCCGGCTAATGAAACAAGGAGTTTGGGCGAAGACCATTGAATGTGGACTTCGACGGATAATGTGGCATTTTACTGTGCGGTCTGATTCGTTTTGTTCCTTAGTGAGAGGCTTGAACAGCCGGAGTATTATGCCATAGGAAAGTGACTGCTGCAAAATTTGTTACAGACAATCTAGTAGCGTCCATATCAATACAAACGTCGCATATACCAACATGGTTCGAGGATACCTGGCCCCGGCCACCATGATATCAAGAACCCCCACGTGGCGGCCCAGGATTGGGAGAAGAGGGGTAGGAGCATGGTGATGCCCGCTGTCTCTCCCAATTTGAAGTGGGCTTATGTATCCGAGGCCTCTGTTTGGACGATGCAACATGGCGCAAGAGCTGCTATGGTTTTCATCTTCCAGGTTCGACAGGCCCAGTTCGTCCAGCCCACGAAGGCTACGTGCGGGGCCAGGCCAGGTTTCTAACCTTGTATCAACCTCAGACCATGGATCCCGAGGATCTTCGCACATGGTGAGATTGGGACTAGGAATCTCGCCATGTGAGTTGCCTCCGAGATCGTCCATCCACCAAGTCATGGTGCAGAAATCTTGTGTCCGGCGAAGGCCCGAGAGAAGTACAAAAGATGGTCATTATCACTGTGGTGATTCCTAGAGCATCTGCCAATAGCCAAGAACGCAACACCTTGTTAATGTCTCTTGATGTAATGGGCGATGGCAAACTACGAAGAGAAACATACCTCGGCGACGAGTCGGCCGGAAAAATCCGTCAACTTGGCGAACAGTTCGCTCAACAGCTCAGGATCGGACTCTGACCTGGCTGCTACGAGACAGAGAATTCTTGAACAGCAAGAACTTCAGAAGACGGAGCCCCCTGTTCTACCTATTACCACTCTCTTCCGAAGGAACAAAGCCAACAAAAACCTTGACCAATTGGCTACTCAACCATCTGTTTATGACGACCCAGATCTAGCAAAGTACTTCCAGCCTACCGCAAAGTACGAGAATCTCCATCGCTTTGATCCCTCAGCACGATGGACCTGGGGCGAAGAACTTGTAAGACTATAAGCCCAATATTGGACCGTTTGAAATTGTGCTGATTCGCCTTTGTTCGACAGCCTCTCATCAACAAACTGGATTGGAAAATTACACTTTGGGCATGCATTGCCTTTTTCTCTCTTGACCTCGACAGAGGAAATCTCAGCCAGGCCAACACAGACAACTTCCTTGAAGACCTTGGACTCGACACCAATGGTATGCCAGATAGCCTCTCAATACCTGAATTAATCATGTTAAGCTGTGCTGACTGCGACTAGATTTTAACTTGGGCAACACTGTCTTCAGACTATCCTTCCTTTGTGCCGAATTGCCTTCTCAGCTTATCAGCAAGAAGTTGGGACCTGACCGATGGGTATGTGCTCGTGGTATGATGGTAGACAGCGACCTGACGGATATAGATTCCGACCATCATGTGCATGTGGAGCATTGTGGCCGCCTCTCAGTTCTGGCTCAGTGGTCGATCCAGCTTTCTAGCCTGCCGTGCTTTGCTGGGTCTTCTGCAGGGCGGCTTTATTCCGGATGTCATCCTTTACCTTGTATGTCCCGCTCAATGCCCTTCGCACTACGCCTACTGATCAAGACAAAGTCGTACTTCTTCAAAGGAACCGAGCTTCCATTTCGCCTGGCTCTCTTCTGGACCAGTCTGCGCGTCACTGACATTGTTGCCCCAATCCTGGCATTCGGCCTCCTTAGACTGCGAGGTCTGCACGGGTACGAGGGTTGGAGATGGCTCTTCCTGCTCGAAGGCCTCTTCACCCTCTCCATCGGCATTTGGTCCTGGTTCATGATGGCTGCCTCGCCCACGCAGACCAAATCATGGTGGAACAAGAAGGGGTGGTTCACCGAGCGAGAGGAGACCATCATGGTGAATCGTATCCTGCGCGACGACCCCTCAAAGGGCGACATGCACAATCGACAGGCCGTCGACTTCAAACTCCTCTGGAAGTCTCTCTGCGACTACGACCTATGGCCAATGTACGCCATCGGTCTGACCTTCTTGATCCCCGCCGGGCCGCCAGACTCGTACCTCACCCTAACGCTTCGGACGCTCGGCTTCGGCACGTTCGACTCGAACTTGCTCAGTATCCCCACGCAGGTTCTGGGTGCCATCACCGTAGGTCTAAATTTGGCGGTTGACGGAGATTGGGCTAACCACAGGCGAACAGATGCTTCTCCTGACGTATTATTCGGAAATCTTCAACGAACGGACATTCTTCGGCATACTTGCCCAGGTCTGGCTGCTTCCGTGCCTGATCGCGCTCAGGACGTTGAAGGATGACACGTCGCCATGGGCAAGGTTTGCCGTCTTAACCGTGTTGTTGTCCTACCCTACAGGTAAGTGGCGTGACTGCTATCAGAGCCGTACGGCCCGTTGTGCTGACATTGGTCGTAGCCCACGCCATGCAAGTCGGTTGGTGCAGCCGCAATTCCAACACCGTCCGAACGAGGACCGTCTCGGCAGCCGTGTACAAGTATGTTCCAAAGCAGCAGTTGATTCTTGCATTGAAGCAACCGAGCAAGAAGGCTAATGTGGGCCTAGCATGTTCGTACAAGTCGGAGGCATCATCCATGCCAACATCTACCGCCAGGACGATCGTCCCAACTGCAAGTTCATGCACCCTTGCAGACAAACCAGCTGATGCTAACGCACCGCAGACCGACGCGGAAACACACAGTTGACAGCCATCTGCGCGGCCAACATAGTCATCTACGTCCTCGCCAAGTCGTATTATGTCTGGCGTAACAAAGTGCGAGACCGCGAATGGGACGCGCTGACGAAAGAAGTGAGTAAACATCCCTACTGTACAAAGAAAACCCCAGCGCCTGTTCAAGGCTGACGTGATGTGTGTTCCCCCCCTCTCGCAGGAACGTGTCCAGTACCTCGAGACAACGACCGATTCCGGCAGCAAGCGCAAGGACTTCCGCTTCGCCCATTAACTCGCAGGCCGGCTAACCTGCAGGGCGGCCCCCTCCTACGCCTCGTCACCTGACGTCGGCGATGAACTTGGGGACGACAAACTTTGCAGGACCGCCCGTGAAGGCCTCGGTGCCGAGTTGATAGACTAGAGAAATGTTCAGCACGCAGGATACAACATGACCAGCGCAGTCGGTCTCCGGTAGCAAAAAAACTTACCCAGCATGTACTGCTTCTCGGCGGGAAACTGATGCTCCTTCGTGAGGTAGCTGAAGAAGAGCTTGACGTCGGCGCGGAAGTCGTAAATGTTGCCCTGCGCCGGAAGGAAGCTGTAGACCTTCATCGCGCCGCCGTGGTTGTAGCCAAAGTAGACCTCCCAGTCGTAGCCGGCAATGTTGACCTGGGCGATGGGCTGCTTGGCCTCGGTCAGGGGCATAACACCGCCGAACCGTCCGAGCCTGCACGTAGCAATTCAGTCGTCTCGTTCCCGTGATGTCGCCAGGCGTCGCAGGAAACAGAGGAGGGGGGGGGAAGACGTACCAGATCATCAGCTCATACTCGCCGCTGCTGTTGACGTGGTCCTTGTCCGTGTCGGTGAAAATGTCATAGGCGACGTTGGCCCGGATGTCCTCCCGATCGTAGTGCCACTGCGACTGCGTCGGCAACGTGTGAATGTCCGACACGAGGCGGCGCTCAAACTGCCGCGCGCCGTAGACGAAGCTCTTGACGTTGTTCTCGCCGCCCTGCCACTCCCAGTCGGAGCTCCAGGCGATGCCCTTGCCACACGACGGAACGCCGTCATAGTAGGTGGTCTGGTTGCCCGAGGTCGCGGCGTCCTGGCCCCAGGTATTGTTGATCAGCTCGTACCCATCCTGGGACCAGTACGCGTACTGCGTGGCCAGGGCGATCAGGTGCTTGATGGGAGGCATGATGGGCGGGCGCGATGGATGGGGCGAGGAGAGAAATGCGGAAGGGGATTAGTGTCCGTTTCGCGCCGTGCCGCTGAACCGTCGGCGGATGTCAAACACGTCGACCGAACAAAGGTCGATTGGCGACGTGAGCTCTCCTTTTGGGGACATTTTCGATCGTATCTCGAGCGGGACCTGCGGTAATTGCGTTCCGTTCAAGGGAGACAACGTGAATCATGAGCCCATGGTCTGGGCCTGCTGGCATCGCTGGGAACTCCGCTTCGCGCGTCACCTCATGCGCCGCGGCCGTCTCCCGGCGGCTTGTGAAGCATTCCGGTTCTTTTCTTGGCGATACGAGTGGAAAGCCACATCCGAGCTAGTAGAACGCAGAGAACAGATTGATTACATTAATGCAGCACTCAGGAGATGTTGATTGACCTGTGGCTGAAACCTTACGACCCTACCATGCCGAGAGTTCCAGGCAAAAGGGGGTGGCGCGGGACACATCCGAACTGACGTCGAGCTAAGCTAGCACGTACAGTCCAGTCAGTCGCCGCTGGGCAGCGACAACGTCCTTCGAGATGGTCGTGGGTTTTCAATTTTATATTATTTCTTGTGTATCACCTTCTAAAACCTGCCGCCCTCTGGCCCGCTGCTAGTCAGCCCAGGTGACAACTTGCCAGCTCGCCGGTTTGTTCTGCCCGTCAGGCGACGTGCCGTCCACCTCGTCGAAAAGTCTCGCGCGGTCGACAGCATCTTGCGCGAGCTGAACGGCCTCGTGATTGAACTCTTGCTTTGTATAATGCCATTGAATCTCAACCCCCGTCTCGGTCAAGAGTTCCATCTCTCGGGCCAGCTGAAATATTCCCAAGCTGTTACGAATGGTGCCTCCCTTGCGGTTGATGTAGACCTGCTCCTCGCTATTGTACCTCCATTTCTTGATATCTGTAGTCATCATGTCGACGATGGTGCGCGAGTCAGATACGAGGATCATCCGGAAGGGCTTTGCATCGCGCAACTGGCACACAACTTCCCCTTGGCACCGGTTCTCTATGAGTTCGTCCCGGCGAGGCAGGATACATTCTCGAACGTCCTGTACAGCCATGCGTGCCGCTTCAATCATGGCGCTCTGCGGGCTTGTGTACCAGTCAGACAGAATCTCAGAACGATTGTAGACGGACGAGGGCCCGAAAAAGACACCCGCGCCGCCGAGCTTGTGCTTTTCTCCCTGAGGCATGACGCCGGAGAAGTTGACAATGAGCGTTCGTGCTTTCATAGCAAAGTCGCTTTTCGAACCTATGGGTTTGCAGCTGTTATGCAGCGGATGCTCGGTGACGTAATCCTCGCGAACACAAAGCCAGGAAACTTCGCATTGCTCGCAGTAGTTGCTCGATGGCCACTTGAGGGGCGGCGTTGATGCCTGGCCCGATGACTGGTCTGCATCCCAGCTATCGTAGCCGGGGCCATCTGAAACTGGCAAAGCCGTATGGCTTTCTGAACGTGGCTGAAACTCTGGAATTGAGCCAATCTTGTTGAGAAGATCTCGCCAGGGAGGTATTTCCTGGCCCTCAGGTGTCGATTCTCGAGATGGTGCGTTCAACAATGTGGACGGCAAGGTCGTGGCCTTCAAGGTTCTGCTCTCGATGAGAGATGGCTCCAGGTTCCTAGACTGAACATTGGCGAAGGAGCCTGAAGGCCTCTCTGGCTTCTTGGCCTGATGGGGCTCCATGTGAGAATCCGATTTGCCTACGAGACTGTGGTTTTGGTTCGAAAGTGGTGTCATCGCGGGGATTGACACTCGGGGTCTGGAAGAATCGCGGAAGAGGTGCTCTTCGTGTGCATCAATGGTTTGAACAGACTCTGGCGGTGGCACCCACTTGGTCGCCTGGACCGGCTTGGGTTCTCTGATCAATCGGGCGGCCACTTCTCTGGCCGCCGCGGGCTCTGCGACCGCAGCCTGCTTGGCCACCGGCGGAGTCTCATAGCCCGGCGAGGAATACGTCGAGGGGGTCTCTTCCCTTGTCTCGACGAATCCCCGTGTCGGGACAGAGACTCTTGTCGCTGGCAAGTCTCTCGTCGAAAAAGACGCCTTCGTCGAGGACGACCTTTCGGATGCAGCGCGTTCCTGCCAGGTCTCAGCATCTTCACATGTCACAAGTACAAGCCGTGCGACATACCGGCAGCATCCACTTCTCCATGAGCCTGGGTCGCACAGGTGGGCCGTTGGGTCTGGTCCCGAGAGAGTTCGTTTCGGGGGCGCCATAGATCAGGGCGACGTCACACACGTGGCAGACGCGGCGGCTGTGCCAGGCGCACACGAGCTTGCCGTAGGCATCGACAGAGTAGCTGTTGGGGGTCTTGATGCCCTTGGCCGTGTCGCAGCTGAAGGCACAGCAGCATTCGTGGCAGATGCGGCGGCGGTGTGGAAGGCACACGGGCACGGCGTATTTGTCAAAGACGTTGTCGCCAAAGTCGAAGCCAAGGTCAAACTCATAGTTGAGGCAGCACGTGCTGCAGATGCGCTCCTTGTGATGGTAACAGACGAGCTTGCCGTTGGCGTCGTAATCCACCACCTCCTCACACCGCGGCTGATCCATGGGCGGCATTGTGCAATACGCAACGCGGCGGTCAGCGGGGGGGCCGACCTACTTGTGTGGGCGCGCACGCCACCAGTCAGCAGAACTTAGTAAGCGCAAGTCGTCGGTCGTGAGAGGGACTGAGACGTTAGAAAGCTTGGGTGAACCCGGGACACGAAGGCATCGCGTGATGGTCCGGGATGGGAGACGAGGGCGATGATGAGCTACATCATGAAAAAATTTGCCCCAGTCTGGGCAGCGCTGGGTGTGTCTTCCGGGTCGAGCACGCGTGGAGCGTCGATGTCATGAGACGCGGATGAAAGGGGAAGGGGCGACCTGGGTGCGTGGGGCATCCATCGGGTCCGTGCTCGCGCGTCAGTCGCGACTTCCCTCATCCTGCTTGCCTGCTCCCTGCAGGATGCTTGATTGCTATTCGATGCAGCGTCCTGCCTCCCTTGCTTTTCCTTCTTTGACTGATCTGGTCCAGGGTGTCATTGAGGAAGAAAAAAACCCGGTTGTATTGCCCCAGCTTCTTGCTGCCATCGGTCTTATCGATCATGCAGATGGCCATGAGCTTTTACATGGTACCTCAAAGCCCGCCTCCCTCCCATTTTCGTTGTTGGTGCATCTGGCGCTGGGGGTTTTCCCCCTGCGTCATTGGATGGGTTTGAAATGGTCATGTCGTATCCTGTTACCTTCTCCGGAAGCGCGGATGATGGGCGATTCAGGTACCGAACGAACTCTGGAGTATCGAAGACTGCATTTCCTCGACTACCTTGTTCATCAATTGACGTCCCATAGACTATCATCAGGAGAGATGCCACCATCCATCAGGGGGTATCTTGTATGTCGCTTGCCCGTGCCCAAAAAGAAGAAATCCAAACCCTCCGTTCTTTGCTCAGTGTCACCGTGACCGAGCTCCCATATTCATAAGGTACATGGTCATACATCAACGTCTCGGGAGCCTACTTCCACGCTTCGCTGTTTGCTCCCGATGCAACAATAAGGCGGTGCTTCACACCTGGGTCATGGCCCCGTGGTGCGCGGGATTTTGCCCGTCTCTTTGTGTCCTGTCGATACTGATCTCATAGTACGCCCGCGCAACGAGGCCAGCCTGAATAATCCTGACTTGGAATTAGTGACGCCCAACAGAGCGACGTGGGCTGCTTCGACTTACATGAGGAAGCCAAGTAGACCGGCCAGCGGAATTTCGTATCGCAGGTACGGGTATTCATACGTGCCGCTGTTCTGCTTGTCTACCATGTTGACCACCATGAGGATGAAGCAGACAAGCGCACCCAGAGCAAACAGCAGCTCCACGCCAAACTGGACGGAATACTGCACGTTCGGCCTGTCCGGTGATCGGCTGCCGCACATCTGGACCAGTGCCATGATGGCCCATAGGAAGATGACGCCCGACTACATGGGCATGTCAGCACAATTGTTGGATGCACTCCGTATCTGGACACCAATGCCGTTCGCAGTGCAACATACCAGAGGAGCCGTCAACCACATGGAATAGTAAACGGGATCAGCGGGACTCGTCGAGCCGTTCAAGTACCGCCCGCGGCGCGAGACGTAGATGTTGACGTTGAGCAGGATGAGCACGAGCGGCACGATGAGCGCCGCCTGCCGCAGTCCGTAGAACATGTAAATGCATTTCCTCCTCTTCTTCTGTGCTGGGTCTTCCGGTGGCACGTAGTAGTGTTGCGGCGGATGATACTGGAAGGCGGGCGGTGGGCGATGGTACGGGTGGGCGTGGGTGCCGCCGGGGCCATAGCTATTGGGGATGTGGGTGTGGCGCGACATGGCCTCTCAATTCGCCCGATTCTCCGGTGGGGTGGTATGGGTTGGAACAGATCTGGTGAGTCGCTAGGTATCGTATTGTCAGGGACGTCGGTCAGAGTAGTGGTGCTCCAGGCTCTGATGCACAACGGCGGGCGGGTCGAAGGATATATCGAATCCATCTATCCGGCGTTGATGTTCCGGGACGGTCGAGATGATAAGTACGATGAGAAAGGGGGAAGAAGGAGAAAACGCCGACGACAAGCCCACGACGAGCACGAGCGGCGCTGCTTGGTTCTTGAGGTCTTGGGCGGTTCAACTAAAGTGCTGGGCAGTCGACTTGGCCAGCATCTGAATGACGCAGCCGAGGAAGCCCCAAGATGCCCAGGCAGCACAGCCCGCCAGGAACCTTCCCACGCCCGTCAGGAGGGGTTCTTCCTCTGCTTCTGGGCGCACCTCAGTGGCCGCCTAGTGGCCCGGGCACAGTGATCAGAGGCGCTGTGGGAGGAGAGTTTACAGGGCGTGCTGCTTGGCGGTGATCCCCCTGGAAGATGCCCTGTGGGACAAACCATGCCCTGGCCTTCACCAAGAGGGGCGCCAACAGGGCCGCCAAGGCAAACCCAGCACACCACGGCAACCCAATTTCACAGCTCACTCCACACTTCCTCCTCCACCAGCCTTCTGCCCTCCGCCCTCCTTTGTCCGTGCCTCCATCCAATTCCATCATCCATCCATCCATCTACATTGCCAAAGATCAGCAACTCTGCATTCAACACTTGGTGCAAGACTCCAGTTTCGATGGACCATTCGACGATTCCCATCACGCTCCACCACTGGCTACCGATGTCTGGGCTCGTGCCCTCAGCGTCCCATTGAAGCGTCTTTCGGCATTGCAACTACCATTCCGAGTGCCGAGACGGTCGATCCGGGTCCAGCCCAAGCCTCATCTGAACAGTCCTCCCACTCTCCAAGCTCAAGGGCCGTTACACACTGGTCATGCTCGCAAACGAGTCCCATCGCATGCGTCGCTGCCGAGACCGACCCCTTGCTCTCCCCTGGGCATTGTCGGATGGATGACTTTTTGAGCGCCAACACAAAAGGAATGCCGCATGGACGGAACGACCCAAGACATCCTGACGCCCTGTGTAACCCCAACACATCGTCCTCTGCCTCCCTGGCTTGCTCGGCTTCGATCATCCTTCACCACCAGACTCCATGCAACACCGCCGCCTGCTCGCCCATCCATCGGCCACAAACCCCTCCTCGTCATGCACTACCAACCTCAAACGCCGCGCCGCCGCCCAGCCCGACAGGCCATCCCGTCGTGTCCGTCGGCACGACGGGCGCGCCGTGTCACGCCGCTCTGAGTAGTCTCCAAGCCGCCTGCTGGAGGAGCCGCCCGAAATGACGCCAACACCTCGGTGTGCCCTGAGCCAAGTCCTCGGCGCATAACGAGAGGGGCCGCAAAGATTGCGAGACGACGCTTCACAGGCAAAAGTCGTGAAAAAGCCCGTCTCGTGTCTAGCCTCGCCAAGCTGTCGGATTTGTCACCGCTTCACTGGAACCACTGGAACCCCTTTGAAGGCAGCCCTCGGCGTCGGCACATGTCAGACAGAGGCGAACGGATGTGTTTGCTCTTGTGAACGCCCCAGAAATCACAGCGTTTAGCTGTGCATGCTTGGGTGGCTGTTTGCCCTCCAAACTTGCCTCTTTCGGTCGTGCAGATTATCGCTGATCCTCCACGCCATGCTGGGTCTTGTTTGCGCTTGCCTGGTGGCTTGGCATAGACTACTGACTCGACCGTGAGGCCACATGACGATGCACAAGATACGAGATCAGTAATACCCCGTGCGGCTCCGACGAGAATGATGGGATCCGGTGTATTGGGCATTCTGGGAGGGTATGCCGTAAGATCTCCACGGGACCCAGATGCACACAGCCCCGTATCGCAGATCTGGTGCTTGACTGCCGGGCCGAGGCCTGACTCTTCTGCAACGGGCACGGTCGATATGGTCTATTGCATTCGTTTGGCCGGCACAAGGAGCTCCCTCCTACGCCCATCATGCGCAGGCGTCGACGGACCAGGGAGCCGTGGATCAAACATCAATTCTATGTCCTCCTTTCCTTCACGATTTTCCGCGCCACGTCACTCGCTCCTCCCCCCTCGCCAAACATGGTCGTAATATCTTCAACGAGCAGCTCAGGCCTCTCCCATGCCGCAAAGTGCCCGCCTTCGGTATGCCACCGTTCAAATACGACCGGCCCTAGTGTTCGCTGCCACGAGCTCGGAAACAGCATCAGATCCTTGGGAAACATGCTGATCCCCAGCTTAACCCCCGGCATGTATTCGAGATGCGCCTGCTTGTTCTTCACATGTCGTCCCTGTGCCTCCTTGTAGATCCGCGTGCTTGCGTCCGGCCCGGCTGTCGAGAACCAGTACAGTCCAACCCACGTCAACACTTCATCGTCGCTCCAATCGTATGCGTCCGTCCATTCGACCAATTTTTCGTAGATCCATGCCAAGAGACCGACCGGCGAGTCGGCCAGCGCGAATCCCAACGTTGACGGCCGCGTCGAGTGCATCCTGTTATACGCCAAGCCCTCTTCGAAGAACCAGTCCGTCCTAGCCTTGCGCTCGAGGTCCAAAGCCGAACTCGGCAGCTTGCTCTGGAGGTAGAGAAGCGGGTTCTTCAGCAACTCGGGCGGCTTGCAATAGACGTGGTTGAGATGCGACGCGAGACAGTGCTCGGGATACTGCCTGCCCACCATGCGCGTGATGCCGAACCCCCAATCGCCGCCTTGCGTCACTGCCGGGCTGTCAGTACCTGTCCTCGCTGCTATAATCCCGCCATCTCGAAGGTGAAACCGACCGTATCTGTCGTAGCCGAGCTTCAGCATGATTTTGTGGAGGGCTTCCGCGTACTGCGCAAGCCCGAACCCCGACTTGCCCACGCCGTCGGAGAACCCAAAGTTCGGCAACGACGGCGCGACAACGTGGAACGAAACCTCGGCGTCGACGCTCGTCAACAGAGGCAGGATCTTGACCACCTCGATAAAGCTGCCGGGCCCTGTGGGGTACCTTGGTCAGATTCAATGCACCTCTCAATCCAGACGACGAGCAAGGTTGCTTGGTGAACAGAAACTCACAGCCGTGGCAGAAAAGCAGCGGGATCGCATCCTCGGCTTGGCTCTCCTGATGCACGAAATGCACGCCAATGTCGCCAAAGCCGTCGACAGCCACATCCGTCTTGAAATGCGGCAGTCTGTTCAGCTCGGCCTCTTGGGCGCGCCAGTCGAAGCCGTCGCGCCAGTATTTGGCCAGCCGCGTTATGGCGGCGCGGGGGGTGCCGTATTCCCAGTCTTCGAGGACGGGCGCTCGATCTGGGTAGGTGGTCTGGTCGAGCTTTGCCTTGAGGGCCTCGATCTTGGCGTCTGGGACGTTGATCTTGTAAGGAACTATGGGTGTATCCATGATGGTGTGCCTGTGAGGTTTGCAGATGAGGTATCTGTGCTATGTCAGTGGCAGTAGGAGGGTTTGAGATATAGTCCTGCGATGGATATTGGTGCTATAACGAGCTCGTCAATCCCGCCCTTTGATGTTTGTTCGATTGCAAAGCAGCGTCGTTTTGGAATGGTAAGCGGGTAGGCAACGGTCACATTGCATGCACAGGATGTACATGATTTCCTCGTCGTTCACGCCCTTGTCATGGAGTTTCGTGGGTGATGACGTCGAGCTGTGGTCAGGGCCCTCAGGGGGCTAAACTTGATGGCGCTAAGATCGGCCGTGACACAGCATCCAGAGGCTTTCCATGCTTTCGTGATGTTTTTGCTGGTAGAATATTAGGCTTAATAACAGCGATATAACAATTGATTCTGAATACTACCCTGGCGAGTGGGGGTGCGGGGTCTGGTTTAAAGGTTCAGGAGGGCAATTACACGTAGAAGTCATGTTTCAACAGTCATATGATTGAGACGCGTGAATTGCTGTGCAGCCATCTCTTGACATTTGGAATCACCACCAACACTCGGTGGATATGTGGAATTGGTGAGATGATCGATAAGGCTTCCTAGGTCGAATTGCCAGATAATCATGAGCACGCCACCCATGTCACTGCACACACGCATCAGTCGGCTCAGCCCTGGCGATAGGCCCCGGCGCAGCGTCTTGGCCACCCGGGATCGCCTCTGCAGTGCCCGTAATGACCGGCATCGTCTGCTGGACCTCATCCCCCGCTCCGCTCCACAGCGTCGGCCCCGGAATCAAGTAAGCAGACAGCGGCTCCTTGGAAACATCGTACACCAGCCCCGGATCGGTCTTGCCATAGAGCTCCACGGCCGGCGTCCCCTCCGGCACCTCGTCTCCCTCCCCGATGATCTCGAGGTTGACGCACTGCGGGTAATGCTGCGTCCCAAGCCCGTCGATCCGCGCATAGTGCAGCGCCACGAGCTCCTGGCGGAGCACGTAGTGGCCCGGCCTCACCGTCTCGGGAATCCTGACGACCCACGACGAATTGTTCTGGATGAACTCGTCGCTGGCCCAGAGGCCCGGCGCGCTGGGGTACGGCCCTGCCACGCCGTCCGGGTCGACGAGCCCCCGCGCTCCGATGAGGAAGAATTCGAGCGCCGTCTTGTCGACGTCCTCGCAGAACCCGTGGCACGGCGCGAGGTACGTTAGCACGGGCCCCTTGTGCGACTCGGGGTAGCCCGCCCACTGGACTGAGAGCGTGGAGCCGGCTTCGATGGGTGCGTGGCCGCGCGCTGGCACGGCGTCGCGGTGGCAGATGATGTCGGGGTGGGCGTAGGACTCGTAGTTGACCCAGCCGTCGTCGGAGACGGTCGTGTTCCAGGCTACGAGTACGGGTGGGTTGGTCGGTTGTTTAGCGTTGAACCCTTCATAGGATGTGCCGTTGATGATGATGTTGGCGACGCGGCTGTGGGCTGCAGCGAGGGGGGCATGGAGCAACAAAGCAGGGAGGAGGAAACGGCTGAGAGAAGACATCGTAGGCATTTGACAATGTTGTCGGACTTGGGGAACTTGGCATGACGGCAAGGCTCTGTTTAGATTTGGACTGTGATCTGGGATGTTGAGTTTAAATACCCTGTTATGAAACCATGACTGTTTTCAAGACAGCGTTCCCTTGGAACACATGTGCAGACGGAAATGACGATTGACTGCGGAATCACTCTATTCACGGCGCGCTGCATCACTTGTAGAGCCTGCCATCGAGCTTACACGCAATATCAACCCGCACCACGTTGGTTCCACGACCTGCCGCCCATGATGCCGGAGTCTCGTCCGGCACCCCCAGCGCGCCGCAATTGGCGGATAGAGATTCGTATAGATGAAGATGTCCCGAACGTCCCGCCCGGCGTCGTGCCGGTATGGCGTTCGTCAATCTCGTGCACCCGTGCCGCAGGTGATCTTTGCCGGCATAGGGTCACGGAGTCGTGGAGCGCCCAACCTGATGACCGGTTTTTTCCTGGGGAAGCAGTCGTATTCTTGGTTGGTGAGGTTTCACGACCTCTTTCGAGAGCTTCCGTCGGCCGAGAAGGGCAATTATCTGATGTTGTTCCGTGGTGGATCTGAGGATCGGCGGGCGATCTTTGGGTGCATCAGGGGCTGTGCCTGGGATGTGACCTTGCTGAGTTTGACGTGTCGGAGTTTTATGCAGCGAGAGTCGGCGCCGCTGCAATATCGTGACGTCTGATCATGGTACGGAGGATCTGGACAGGCTCGGTTGGCTGAGGAAGCAATACGTCGAAATACCATGATATTTTGAGCTTTGCGTATATATGCGTCAAGTATTTGAATGCCCTCGAAAAGAGGCAAGTCGGGCTCATATTTAGACGAGGCATATTCAGGAACAGAACACACTCTGTTCGCCCAAACCACCCATGAAATGAAAAGCTCTTTGATATACCGATCATAGTGGTGATCGAGCGAAATTTGTGGAGTTTTCCTTTTCGAGTTGCTTCGGGACGTAACTTCCCTGATTCTCATGATCATCGATCACTCATTCTGGTCAGAAATCACAGTCGGCGGAAAGTCCTCCCGGGAACCGACGCACAAGACTGAATGTCGAAACAAGGGCATGTAAGGAGTGAGTTGAAGCTCACCAGAACCTGTTGAAGAGTGCAGCTGAATCCAGAGACCCTGAGAATCGGTGATAACATCCAACGCAAGAAAATCTCGCTGAGCCACTCTATACTCACGCCATGCCAGAAAAGTGAAGATCTCCAATGGACCATGACGTCTTGTAGTAATTCTTCAGTGAGCTCATTGCAAGCTTATTCCTTCAGGTGGTATTCAAAGTACACCGGGACTACAACATCAGGAACCCAGCGTCTGAGAATACTGCCGACAAGGCGCCACCCCACCTGACGGCCACAGCATTCAACCTTTCTGCAGCTGATTGAACGGAGAAACGGTAATCTTCTGTTTGCGGGTGTCACATGGCTTGCCAATCGCTACGGAATGCTGCCATAGCGCTGCCAGACTACCTCACTGCGACTACCGTTGCGAGATGTTAGACAAATCCCTCCTACGTCAAGCGATAGGCTGTTCTGCAGATCCCCTCTTCAGCTTTGCTCCTTTCAAGGCCAAGACATACGTGACGCCGCTTCGGGACGTACAAGACCCCGAGCGTTTGATTTTCACCATGCATCCCATAGAAACTTCATCGGCAGTCCGTCCGACTCCGACAAAGAGCTCTTTCGAAGCTGCGTGACTGGAGCTGTAGCTTGCAATGTCATGGGGACATTCAGGAGCTTCCCAGCGTCTCATTCCGCAGGCTAACGTGGTTTGGGGTGAGCGCTGAGGGAGCCATGCTTGTTTGAGGTCAACTCCAAGACTAGCTCAACTTCTTGAGTTTGCCCCGCGCCCAATTTGGCTGCGGCTCGCCGACCAGCCGTAGAGCCGGACTCTGGAAGCGCGAGGATCAGCTGTACCTGGAGTCTATCTGAAGAAGCGTGCGGAGAGCTGGTCTGTGCACTGCGCCGGGATCGACTCCGTTCCCGTCTGCGCGCACATCGGCTGGATGTTTGTTTCCACCAATTCCATGCCTTTAGTCTGTTATTGCTGCCCCATACTTCACCTCTATGGACACGTAGTGTGATGATGGGAATGATTGTTTGCGTGGTCTGTTTGCGTGGCTTCCACGAGGATCACACGAGGGGGGAGAACGAGGTCTCACCTCAATATGTAGGGTAGATAGGCTATTGTGCTTGTGTACTGGAATGATCCTTGAATCTTCACTGAGTTACCCTCATCACATGAAGCGAGGCAGGCGGTTGTTTGATCGAAGCAGTTCTGTGGGTTTGCGTGGAATCATTGTCACTATCCCCTCTTTCTGGTGCGTAAGCCAGAGCAAAGCAGTCTGAGGGTCCTCAAGCTTGAGGCTTATTCGTCATGATGAGGACGCCACAAGTAAGATGTTTCCACTTTCATGATTCGTCTCTTCCACGCAAGCATTGAAAAGCCGCGTAGGCATGATTCAGACCGCCAGCCCTGGGAGATAAAGCTCCTGAGCTACCACCGTTCACCACGCCACGGTGCCGTTTAGTTAGCTCAGAAGCCACCGAATGATGCAGCTATCTCCAGCGGTTATTGACTGATGCAAATGCTCGAAGAGGCTGGAAACAGGGATCACATGCATAATCCTGCCGCGGTATGCTCGACACGGAGTCCAAAACTCAACGGCGTGATGCCAGATCGGTGTTCCACCCGCTAAAATCTACACTACCGATCACACTTGGGAAGCACCGGCACTTTTCATTCGTCATTTACTCATAAGCTCACCTTTCTGATGTCTGAATTTCGGTGATTACTAAAGAGGAGGCTTGACTTTGTGGCTTGCATTAACCTCCTTCCTAGGGACCCGACGCGAATGCCGTAAATCCGGAGTTCAACATCTGATAGTTAGTTTCAACGCTAAATCTGGGGTTTTGGCCAGATTGGTAGTGTCTCTGTCAAAGATTCGGCAACTGAGGGACATTTGGTTACAGTGACAGCATCGTCATGCAGTCCGTCAAGCGCCACACGGCACTCAGGCCCCTAAAAACGTAGCAAAGACAAACTTTCGTCAGCCCAGCTGTTGGACAGGGGCAAGCTCTCCATATCGTCATAGGTCAACGGCCCGAATATCTTGCACTTTGAGAAGTGCACCCCGAGCGCTTCACGACGAGCTACTAGTTTGCCGCTGGTGCTAGTATCAACGTCTCTACGGCCATTCCGACCAGCAAAACTTTTATAATTGAGGAACGTAATGTACAGCGCCTGTCTCCACGTCCATAGGTATTTCAGTGAATACATTAGAAACTAGGTTTGGCTCAAGCGTAGCTTCTTTTATCAAAAAAAGATCACCATTCGGTCGTGTCAATATGTGATCGACAACCCAGCTTCAAAACTCACAAACATACGTCCAGGAAAGGACTGCTACTGTAAAGCACCTACACGACGCCGTCATTGTCGATCATGTAGATCTTGGACACAGACCACAAGTGCAAAGTCAAGCTTCTATCTCATCATCTGTTGAACTCCAACCGCGACACCCGAATCACTGTGAATCATGTACATGGGCCTCAAGCTTCCGAACCCCTCACTTGATCTCAGGCGATGATGCAATATGGTCTCAAAGCGATGCCGAGCGTAGCTTTGCTAAAGAAGACGTCCGTACAGCGAGGGCAATGACAAGTATAAAGCTCCTGCAGGTCCTACCCAGTTTCGCTTCTTGTTTCTCATCTTCATCAGAACAAACACGATCTACAACAACATCTAGTCCAAGCAACTTCTCACTCTTCATCTATCTCTTCTCATCATATCACATTCTCCTTTGCACCCTCAAAATGCGCTTCTCCAACACCATCACACTCATCCTCGCTGGCAGCGTCATGGCTGCGCCTGTTGCAGAGCCCCAGCCTGAGGCTGCCCCAGAGGCTGTCTCTGAGTCTGATATCGAGGCACGCCAGCTACTCAAGGGCCTTGCGCCTCCTGTCGCTGGCCTTCTCGCGTCCCTGGGACTTGTCGGGCTTGCTCCTCCAGTTGGTGCTATCGTCGACACTCTGGGCGACAATGTCAAAAAGCGACAGTTGCTGAATGACTTGTCTCCTGATGTCGCTCTCCTCCTCACATCACTCGGCCTTGGTGGGCTTGCACCTCCCGTCGCGGGCATCGTCGACACTCTCGGAAATGATGTCAAGAAGCGGCAACTTCTGAACGACTTGTCTCCAGATGTTGCCCTCCTCTTGACCTCTCTCGGCCTGGGTGGTCTCGCCCCTCCCGTCGCCGGTATTGTCGACACTCTCGGCAATGATGTGAAGAAGCGACAGCTTCTCAACGACCTGTCACCTGATGTCGCCCTCCTCTTGACCTCTCTCGGCCTGGGTGGCCTCGCCCCTCCTGTCGCCGGCATTGTCGATACTCTTGGCAACGACGTGAAGAAGCGACAGCTTCTCAACGACCTGTCACCTGATGTCGCCCTCCTCTTGACCTCTCTCGGCCTGGGTGGTCTCGCCCCTCCCGTCGCCGGTATTGTCGACACTCTCGGCAATGATGTGAAGAAGCGACAGCTTCTCAACGACCTGTCCCCCGACGTTGCCCTTCTTCTCACTTCTCTTGGTCTGGGCGGACTTGCCCCTCCTGTTGCCGGTATTGTCGACACCCTTGGCAACGATGTCAAGAAATGACGAGGCAAAAAAAAATCTGATCGGCGTTCTTCTGAGTTGAAATGGAACAATAATGTAATAAGACGCAAAAGTTGTATCGCACGCCAACATAATGTCTCAGACCCAGGGGGTAGCAGAAGGTCTTCACAGCAAGCTGTATACACACTACCTATGTAAAATAATCGTTGTTCTCCCTTAATATAAGTGTAGTCATTCGTTCGTCATATATTTGCTTTCCAGTACTGACCGTAGAGTTGCCGGATATAATGCCGAGTTTCAACAACTTTGAAACATTTGGTTCACGTGTTTGCCCCTCCAGCCACAAGGGAATCTCAATGCAGTCAAATTATGAAAACGCACTTCGACGGCGGATGTTGAAATTACACGCTCGAACGTTTTAGGACATATGTGCCGCAGAATTGCACGCAGAATATCTTGAGGACCCCAAATTGACACTCTAGGTGAAGCCTTGACGCTTTTTGACCATCTGACGTATCCTCTCATGATCACGATCATTCCTTGCTTAATTCATGTCTCTATTCTGTCTCTACTTTACATCAAACTCTTCAGACGCTGGCCCGCAGAGAACCGCCTCAGATTATCCGCAATCAGCGCCTCGGCATCCTGCGGCCTACCGCCTGCAGCATGGGGCGAGACAATCAGGTTAGGCGCCTTCCACAGCTTGCTCGAACCAGGCAGCGGCTCCGTGTCGAAGACATCGAGCGCCGCACCGCCAATCTCCTCCTTCGTCAGCGCCTGGAACAGCGCCTCCTCGTCGACGGACGTGCCGCGGCCGACGTTGACAACCCAGGCGTGCTTGGGCAGAAGAGCAAGACGCTCAGCGTTCAGAGCGTGGCGCGTGGAGTCGGAGCCCGGCAGGATCATGACGAGCGCGTCAGTCTCCTTGAGGAGCGTAGGCAGGCTGTCCTCTGCGAACACCTCGATACCGTTGCGGACGCCGGCGTTGCGCGCGACACCGCGGACTTTGGCGCCGAGGCCGACTAGGTGGGGGGTCAGGGTCTTGGCAATGTTGCCGTAGCCCCAGATGAGAACGTTGGCGCCGCGCAGGGAGGTGAAGCGGTCGGCGGGGCGGTCGGGCTGAGGGCCGCCGAGGTGGCCGGGCCACTTGCCCTGGAGCTGGTAGTCGCGCATCTCGTAGAAGCGACGAGCGGCGTTGAGCAGGAGGCCCAGGGCGTGCTCCGCAACAGTGTAGTCGTGAAGGCCGGAGCCGGTGGTGATGGCAATCCTGGACGAGTCGAAACCGGCGTTGAGCACATCGTTGGGGCCGGCCGCCAGGGACTGAATCCAACGAAGGTTCTTCATGCGTGCGGCGGCATCTTTGAGGTTCTCGGCCGTATTTGTCCAGGTGACGAGGATCTCGGCGTCGATGAGTTCCTCTGGGATGAGCTGCTTGACATCGTAGGGCTGGAGGTCGACGGAGAAGCCCTTGAGGCTGTCAACGTCGAGCACGAGGGAGGTAGGGTAGAGGAGCTTCATATTGACTGATTGTGAGGTTTGGATGATGATTAGGAGGAGAACTTTGGTCGAGGGATCTACGAGAGGTGATTTCGTTGGTGAAATCTCTCTTCGTGGTTCGTTCGTCTTCCCCTCGGTCCAACATCAAGCGATGCCGGCGAACCATCCCCCACGTATTGCCGCCAGTTAGAGGGGCCGGGGGCGGGGTGGGTGGGGGTCATGTGTTCCCGTGACGTCAAACCCTCATCGCGGGGCCGGCAGCTGCTGGCAGGTGGACCAGCGGGCAACATTCGGATGAGACCGAATGAGGGCAAAATCCCATCGCCAGGCTGTTGCCAATGAGAAAGGTTTAGTTGCTCAGCAATGTGTTTCCGACAACTGACCAACCATGTTGAAAGTTCATGTCTCCCTGTACTTGACTGTCCAAGCCAAGATGTGTCCTCTTCGGTACGTGACATCGCAGACGGCCTGCATATGCGGTCAGCCTGGTCAAGTCAGACTACAATCAAGGCCGGAATCCAGTCAGAGTATAAAGAGACTGTGTAGACAACAATTAAAGAACATGGAATTAAAACGAACCTGGGACACTCCCTTGTTCCCCCACTTCTTTTAGCCGCGGCACTGTCCGTGACCCAACACGAACACCTCCAGTCATGGCGTTCGCCTCCTCAGATGAGGTTCTCGCAGCGGTGCTATCAAAACAGTACGCTGATTATCGGCATGCACCAGACATCGAGGCCCGTGCCGCCTTCATATCTCCCCACTGTCGTCAAATATGCCGCCCTCACCCTTCGTACGGAGCTTCTGATCGCCAGGCCATCCTGGAATACTTGTATGAGGCCTCAGGAGAGCGGCCCTACGACAAGACAACAACACCCATTCAGCAGATTCTCCAATCGCAAGCTGGTGTCCCGCCAGGCGCCAAGGCGTACTATACTATTCGTCCTCTAACACAAGGAGAGCTGAACTTTGGCAATGTTCCAGGGGATCCGGTACGAGGTTTCCTGGATTCTGAAGCAATGAGGGATATGGCTGTCGACCAAAAATGGGTTGGAATGAGGGTTAGTATGTGGACTGATGGCGGGATCGGCGAGGGGGGCGAGAAGTTGGGGCTACTTGTGGAGGTGCAGTACTGGTGGACCAAAGAAAATGATAAATGGGCACAAATTGCTCACGACATAATGTATTTGGGCTCTCGGGATGGCTCAGAGGGGGTAAATGACGAGATTCTCGGATAAAGCCCGTAGTTACCTTTTGCCACACGTGGGCCACAATGATGGTTTTTTGGCAATACCGGGGCCTGAGTTAGTCGAGATCATAACCTCCTGAAAGGACCTGTCAAGGCCTGACTGAAACGGTCATGGTGGTGTCATTGGACGTGATGAGGTTATTCAATCACAGCGGATACCAAGAAACGCAACGCCAAGCTATGAGACATTGCTATTGGACCAGTCTAAGAGCGTTCGATATGTGAATATTGTAAACGCATAAATGGGTCCAGACTCTGGAGATAATATACCATCCGTAACTGAATCATCAATGACCAGCAGAGTCACTGGCTGAGCTGTGGACCACCGAGGGGATGAGATGTGTTGGTCTGAGGCGAGTACTGACGAATGACCTGCGATAAGCTTGTCATGTGGTATTGGTCGCCCTCGTTTGAAGCTCCAGGAGAATCAGCATACGCGCGGTCGAATAGTATCATTGCCAGCCTGAACTGCCACATTTGCATTTTTCTTCTCACATGACGAGTCCTGTTGTACCACCATGTATAATATCCAGCTAGGTGAGCAGGTGAGCATTGGCTAGCAGTTCCCCGCCCGTCCATGAACAACAGATGCCTCCCTTGCACAACTACTGGAGGTCAGCCTTCTGCTGCACTATAAAACGCACGATTGTGGTTCAGCACAACTGAAGCAGAGTGTGTTGCCCGGCATTAGCGAATGATACCACAGCATCCATATCACAAGACGTTTCTATCATCAGGTAAGTCAGTCCAGCCGGGAGAGGGCGACGAGGCTGTGAGCCATTTGATAAAGTGCACCCGCCAACACATCCGTTGTATCACCCACCAACTGTTTTTGGCCTAATGCATCATCAGGCTCTGGGGTGGCAGATAAAAAGGAAGGAATGGGAGCACACCAGAAGCATAAATAGGCAGCCTCCAAGAATTCCCGTGAAGATTCGTTTCCGAGATGGTGAAGATTCATGAACTATAGGAGTTAGGATTCTTACCAAATATTGTCTCGCGAACACAATCTCAACACTCACCGTGAGCATTCCCGAAGCAGAACAGACGCTGTGCAAAACGCCCTAATCAGTGCCACCAGACAGACACAACCTACTCCAACAACAGCTGCAATGCCGGACAAGTGTGGCTCGTGTAAAAGCTCCCTCGATGGCCCTGCAGGATACATTCGAACTACAGAGTCCTGCGATTGCACCAATGGCGAGATCGAGCTTGAGAATGGTGAGACTATAAGGTGCAGTCGCTGTCATAATGGAGTGCGCACCGTCGATGTGCCCTGTACCCATTCAGGGCATACTTAGATTGGAAGTGGTGTAAGCCACCGCGTTGTTCTCAAAACACCAAGCAGACGAGATCAAGCATGGTTGTGCACGCTGTGACGCCGACACTGTGAGGAGGACGAAGCAGGTATTTTAGGCAGTGCAAATATGACATGAGTTAACCCCTCTGCATCTCCATATGGTGGAGCTACACATTTCTCACTGCCAACTTGATGCTCTCTTCACAAAACCTGCTGAACACCCCCATCCTGCCTATTCGTAACCCCCTTCTCGACTTCGTATGACGTCTCCGTCGGCGCGCTCTTACTGAGGATAACAGTCTTGTGCCCGTCGCCAAACGTGCCAAAGTAATCCTCATCATCGACGAGACCAGCCCCCTCCACGGGCCAGATCCTACACATACTCCAGTAGAAGGTCATGGCGAGGAACAGCCCAGCCGGCCACGCCATGTAGTAGAGATGCGACCACCCCGTCTCCTCCCTCGTCGGGTCCTCAACCCGCCATACGAACCCCGGCATGAGCGGCCACGTCGCCAGCACCCAGGCGGCAACGGCGCGGAAGTTGACGCCGCGCCAGTACCAGTACGAGCTCCGCGGCGAGAGCTCGTACAGGTGCGTCAGCCGCAGGCGGCGGCCGCGCACAAGGTAGTAGTCGGCGAACATGACGCCGGTCATGGAGCCGAGGAAGACGCCGTAGCCGCCCATGACGGTGAGGAACTTGCTGGCGCCGTTCATGAGGCGCCACGGCTGCAGGATGAAGGCGCAGGCGGCGGTGAGGTAGCCGCCGCGGCGGAGGTTGAAGAGGCGCGGCGCGAGGGCCGACAGGTCGATGCCGTTGGAGAGGGCGTTTTGCGCGACGGCGATGCCGAACTGCGCGAGGATGAAGGCCAGCGAGGCAAAGGCGACGGCGGCGCGCGCGCGCGGCGAATCGTCGTGGTGGACCTGCAGGGCGTCGAGGAAGCGGTAGGGCTCCCAGACGAGGGTGCCGCGGGTGTGAGGGAAGAGTTCAGCGGCGCACGAGGTGCAGACTATGCCGACAAAGGCGACGAAGATGGTGTTGGTCGGCACGAAGAGGAGCTGAGCAAGGATCTGGTCGCGGGGTTTGCGGGCGAAGCGCGTATAGTCGGACTGACTGTACAAATGGGTGGCGATGCCGGAAATGTTGGTGCAGATGCCGAGCAAGAGCATCCAGCCGAGATGAGAGCCGGTGGCCTGCTTGATACCGGCGGTTGCCGTGATATCGGAGGCCATGGGGCCCAGGTCGCCCACGGTCGCAAGGCAATAAATAAAGATGGTCACGACGGTAGGGATGACTGTCAGGGCGGCAATGGCAAACGGGATGTGGTAGCGCTCGGGACGGATGTAGATAAGAGGCAGACAGAGCAGCGAGAAGATGATGAAGCCCGTAAAGTCGGCAACCGTCATTGTGCCGTCAGCGAGCGGCTTGTCAAGCCTGTTGAAAGAGGGCCAGATGGATGAGATGAAGGTCCGCACACACTGTCCTCCCCAGTAGACTTGGGTTGAGTACCAGATGAAGGAGAGCATGATGCGCTGCACCATGGGGATGAAGGCTCCCCACATGCCCCAGCTCGACTTCTGCAGGATGCAGAAACCGATATGCCATTTCGCACCCGGCGCGCCTGTCAACACGCAGATGAGACCGACAAGACAGTGGCCGATGATGACCGTAAGCATAGCTTGCCATACGTTGAGTCCGAGTGCGATTAGGGCAGAGCCGGTGGTCCACCCGCCAATGTTGAAGGATCCAGTAACGACCCAGAGCCCCACGAACTGCCAAGGACCATATGTCCGGCGAGATGGTGGCAGTGGTCTGGTATCGTGGTTCATGTAGGCTGTTGTCGAAACATCCGTCTCGCGCGGAACCTCGATGCGCCGGAACGCTCGTCGGACGGCCAAACTCATAATGACAGGGGAAGCCGTCTGGCTTGTAGAATATCGGAGGAGATTGTAGAGGCGAGAGCAATCATGTAATTCGAAGAAACTGCTCGGTGAGATCGACTGGCTTACCAAAGGCCTCTCCACTCGTACAGCCAACTCTGTGTACCGGAGAAGTTGGTGTGGTCGTCGCTTGCTTGACGTGATAGGCGTCGCGGTCGTTGACAGTGAATTCCCACGAGACAAGTGGTGGGGATCCCGATCCCTTGGTACTGGGCCACTCGCTTGATTAAATATGGAAAGCCACCCTTGGCGATGGAGTCATATCCCGGCCCCAGGGTTCGAACGCCTGGTAGGGCGTGGCTGGGCTTGGACTGGGCAGACAGCGGTTCAGCAAGTCGGTGAGAGCAATCAAGCTCCGATGGAGGGCAGAGAACACCAGTAGCAAGTCGCTGGGGCGTTTTTAGGGGACGGGCGGGAAGCGGATGGCACTCGCGATACCTGTCCCCGGTCGAGGTGGTGTTCTTGACAGCTACCGTAAACACTAGAGTGCTTGGAATGGGGCTCAGACTGGGGTTTTGGTAGGTTCGGAATTCACGGATGAGGTTCCTTGGGCCCAGTCTCCTCGTGGCCGGCCCGTTGATTTGGTGATCTTAATCGCAAGGTGAGGTAGGCGAGATGGGTGGCGGTCTCCTCCAGAGGAAGACGGTTACTGACGGCTGCTAGTAGACTAGATCGAGGAACAACAAGTCGAAAGGTCTCAGTCTCGGTGAGGCGTGCGTCTGCAGCTGTCTTTGAGGACCCTGTTCCTGAATTCTCTAGGGCATGGCACTTCTTTCCTGCGGCCGAGGGACCACGTCAAGTTGTATGTTTATCTTGAGCTTGAGATGCCTGGCCCTGATGATCAAAGAAGAAGACGGGGCGATCATTTCCCAATGCCAACAAGGCTAGCAAGCTGCTCGTCTCTTCAGCACTCTATCACCTGCATCGAATGCCGAAAGAGGCTCGAGCTATAGAGGCTACTGCAAGACCGGTGACACGAGACCCCGTTTCCCACGCCATGACCAAGCGGCCTCAACTGCTACAGTACCTTACCACGACACGACTTGTCGTATCTACCGGCAGCCACGGCGCCTTTGAATCATGTCTCCCCCCCAGGAATGGTGCTATAGCCCTGGCTCGAGGGCCACCCATTCGCTCTCCCAGCTCAGGACACCCACCAGCTAGGTAGCGCCATCACCACCCGCTCCAACCCCGGCCCAGAGGGCTTCCCTCGCTCTAGGGGATGACCATTATTGGAGCCACCGGCACGCGCAAGGTTCGCTTGGGCCAGACGCCATCACACCCACCAACCCAACGGAGCCCAGCACTAGTATTGTGCTCAAAGAAATCAGAAGGTTCTGTCGAGTCAGTGATGACGTGGGTACACCATCCCACAATCAACCCCCCTCTCTTTTTATTAGCCTTTCAGAGAAGCAGAGCCGGGGGTTGCTCCGACCCAGTCAGAAAACAAGAAAACAGGCTGGGCACAGGTCGGCCGCCAAGGATAACGAGGTGCCCAGTCCCTGCTGCCAGCGAGACCAACACAACTCACATGCACGCCTTCGACTTTGACGTGCTCGGCTCTCCAAGACGAGCCGGCATGCATGCATGCAGCTACCCGACCCTCCTCCCCCCCTACCAGGGGACCTCTCACCTCTTCAAGCGTTGACAAACTGCTGCTCACGCTCACCACCATCTGTCTCCCGGGCATCCGTCCGCCTTGATTACCTACCCAGAGAGTCTGCCTGTCTACCTGTCTCGCGACGGATGCGTGACCTCCACCCACCTCGAGCGGCACGAATTCAACCGCTTCACCAGCCGTTTACCAGCTTAAACACGCAAGAAATCACTGCAAAACAGCTCATCCACGAAAAGGGGGCGTTCATCGCGGCACGGCGCGCGGGGTCGCAGACGGCCTGGCGGGAAGAGGGAAGGGATCTGAAAATCGCCCGTCGGGCCAGGCCGCGATCAATTTGTAGACATAGAAAAGAAGCATACGCGCACTCTGTTTTGTCCTCGTGGGGTGTTGAGCGCATTCTCCCCCCCCCCTTTTACTTTGCCTTCGCGAGAAAGAAACAATCCCTCCCTTGCTCCCCTCCCTCTCCGTCTGATCGTCGACGGTGTCATCACCCTCCCCCTCCGATCCCAATCTAGTCCAAGCCCGTCTCCGTCTCGGTGTACCTTTACGCATACCGGGAATAACAAACCCCCCCTTCCCCATCAAATACCTGTTTTGCTTGACCATTGCAGAGAAACAGTACCATAGACGCACACACATACACGCCCCCTCCCAACACAGGGTAAAAAAAACCACCAACTGCCGTCCTCTACTCGCAATCAGTCAAAAGCACTGCCGATCGCTTTAACACCACCCCAGCAGCCTGCACTACCACCACCGCCGCCGCCCGCCCGCCTAGCCCGTCACCCCGACGCACGGGACGAACCCAAACGCACTTCTCCCACCCTTCAGAGGAAGCAACGCCCGTCACCATGGGCGTGGGCGCTGCGCTACCGATCGTCGACTTGGCATCCTTCGCCTCGGCGGAGGACCTGGGCGCCGAGCTCATGCGCGTGGGAAGGAACCCGGGCTTCTTCTACGTGGTAGGCCACGACCTCAGTGACGACGTTGCGTCGCATGTCTTCAGACTGGCGCAGCACTTCTTTGATGCACCTGCGGAGGAGAAGCTAGCCTATGGGAATGGGAGCGGTGATCTGGTAAGTTTGCCTCTGCATGCACTATCATTCTGAATATTGGAACTTCACTACTACGTCTCGGAGGAGGGTTCGTTTTGGTTTCCCTGGAATTGAATGCGACAGTTTTCAGCTGACAGCGGCCCCCCCTTTCGCTTGCTGCAGGGCTATACAGGCATGAGGGAAGAAACGTAAGCCTCGCGTTGACAGATTCCGGCCCGTGCATGCAAGCGAGACTGTCGAAACTGACCTTTGTTGGATACTGGAGGCTCTCGGGAAAAGGACCCGGTGATGTCAAGGAATCATTCTATCTCGCAGACCCCGGCACGTCACAGCAGCCACTGCCACCACGACTCGACCGCCACCGTGAGCAGCTGGCCGCCTTCTTTCATGACTGTGATGCACTGGCCAAGAAACTTCTGAAAGCCATGGCTATAGGACTGGGGGTAAGTGACAGGCCCCTGTCCCCTCCAATGCTTGAATCCCTAAAGTTCATGACTCTCTCCGCCAGGTGCCCCAGGATTATCTGTCCAAGGCTCACACGGGCGAGAGCTGCCGCATGCGACTAATCAACTATCCCGCTGTCTCCTGCGAGTCGCCAAAACGAGATGCTGTCAATAACGACAGCGGTGACATTCGTGCGGGCGCACATTCCGACTATGGCTCGCTAACTCTATTATTCCGCCAACCCTCGGATCAAGGCGGTCTCCAGGTGCTTCGGCAGGACGACTCGGCTGGGCCGACATGGATCGATGTGCCGTGTCTACCCAATGCGATCGTCGTCAATATTGGCGACGCCCTGGAGTTTTGGACCGCAGGACGGCTGCGGTCAACCGTTCACAGGGTGGCATTCCCGCGCAACGCCAAGGAGAACGTGGCAAGACTGAGCATCCCCGTCTTCATCCAGCCTGACCGCAATGTTGTGTTGGCCCCGATAGGGGTAAGCGGGGGCAGTTCCGAGGGACAGCCCGCTGTCGACGATGCAGGGTTCCTCAACGTCCTCAAGCGCAAGGGCTACGCCAGCGCCGCACCTGTGACGAGCCACGAACACTTGACAAGTCGCATTCGTGCGACCTACGCCAAAAGCTGATCTTGTCGGTGTCCTGGTTGGGATGACATAAGTCCAAGCTGGTGATTGTATGCTTGCTGGGATTGAGAAGCCCCTCTCGCCAGATCACTTTGCTGCAGTTGATAACGACCACAAAAGGTCGTCTGGGACATTTCTTAGGTGGCGCTGTACACACTGAAGTTGCCGGTCCACTCCGTCTCTGTTGGCAGGGCGCTGAAAGGACTGGGCCAGGGAATATGATCGAGATACTCCATGGGAATGGTGAAGTTGTGCGGTACGACGAAGTGCTGAATGGGAATTTCAGCTCGGGGTTCATGCGCTGCATGTGTGAGCTCTGGCTCGTTCAAAATGGACGTATCCTGCGGTTGCGTTCGCTCGAGGTACTCGTCGATCCGACCAATGTGCTGCAGGAGCTTCTGGCCAGCCTCAACAGCCAGAGGTAGCGAGGGACCTAGGTTCTCAAGGAAGATGGCCATTGACCGACTGGGCCATCGTCAGCATGATGAAGGGCGGCTGACAGGAAACCGGTGAATTTCTTACATAACTTCTCTGAGGTGACGGTATTCGTTAGGATGAAGTTGACGGCCGATAAAGCTCGTGAGCATCTGGCCCACACCGGCGAGCTCTTGCAACTTGAAATCATGTTAGCTAGTCTCGAGGCAAAGTTGGGCGTATTCATACCATAGGGGACCCGATGGCTCGAAGATAATCGACGGGCGTCAGTGACATCTCCTCAATCAACTGGGTAGCCGTATGACAGGCATCTCGAAATGTGACGTCTTGGCAGGAGAATGATGTCATTCTCACCAGCTGTTGTCGTTAGTACAGTCGTGCTCGAGTAGATTGTAGTTCGCGTACCTGAATGGTGCAAGCAATGTTGGCCACTTGAAACCCGCACAGATTCGATTCGATGTTGGGCGACGGCGGTTGGGCCCTTGCAAGATAGATCGGCAGGCCGTCTCTCTGCGTCAAGACCTCGGACAGGATATCGTCGATCGGGGGTGGCATGTGAGTGAAGCCGTATCCGGCGTAAATATGGCCTCGGTCGGCAGGCGTGGTCTTGCGCGAGCGAAACCGCACGATCACATGCTCAAGCACGCGGTAGAGGTCCGTGATGTAGTCCACCCGATGAGCCATCCACCTGAGGGGAAGCCGCCCCTAGAAGCGGCGGCGGCAGCGATGGGGTCTCTAAGCGCGTCCGAGACAGCCGGATATGCGACGGCCGCCTGCATTTCCGGACAACGGATGGAGTGACTTTTTATGAGGGCTGAATGCACCTCGAGGCGGTACATGGACCAGAAGAACTGCCGGCGTACGTGGACCTCGACTGGGTCAATGCTCGAGGGCCAGCGTGACTCGTTCTGGAAGTTGTGCTGGGCCATGACCGTGTGATAGAGGCCAAGGGTCTCGTGGAGAAGAGGAGCGTCTCCGAGCTGGATGGCGGCCAACGACAGGGTGCCGAGGGTCTGCAGATACTGGAAGCTGTCGGCGGCTGAAATGTCGCTCGGGATGGCCCTCCTCGCATCTTCGAGGTACGACTGCTGGTGTTTCGCAGGGACGGTAGGGGCGATGCGCAGACTGAAGACGGCCCCATCGCGAACATGACACGAACTGAGAGCGCAGATGGCCATGAGCCGCGCAAACGTAGGACGACTCGACGAGAGGCTCGTCCGCTCCCACTCATCGACAAGAACCGATTCAGCGAAGAAAGGAAAGCTTTGGGGCCCTTTGTCAGCATGCCCTGAGGTTTGAGGTTTGACGTCGTCAGATGAGAACCAAAACTCACATGGGATACACGGTATCAAAAAAGACGCGCAGCAGTGCCTCGATGAGCCCTCGTTCTCCGTGCCTCGCCACATCGTACGTCCAAGTGTCGTCGGCGACGCTGGAAGCCTTCCTCGCGACTTCAGGGCCCTTGGACTTGACACCTCGCTTGGCAGCAACCCGGTCCCAGGTGCAAGTGGCGCCATGTTCGATGCATGTCAGGCACGTCACGGTGGTGGCCGAGTCCGGACTCGTGGTGGAGGGCAGCTTGCATTTGCGACCTCGCCGATGGCAGAAGTCGCAGGCCTTGGTGATCCGGCGGCGTTTCAGGACGGGCTTTTCGCGATCAAAAGAGCGTCCAGAGTCGGGAGACTCATGCTTGACGGGCAAACTCATGATGGATGGATGGAATGGCGGGAGAGGGGGTCAGCGTGGGGACCAATGTCATGACATGAGGCGGTTGGTGACTGGACGTTCCATCCGGCACGGAAGCCCAAGCCTGCGAGTGCTGGTTGGTGCCCAAGCCCGAAGGAATATGAGAAGTGATTGACGGCCTACGGTACGCGAGGAAAAGAAGTGCCGATCGCAGAGTTGTCGTTGAAGATCCAGGGTTGATATGCAGGTCGTCCGGTAGCCAGCCGTCCCGGGAGGAACGCACTGGGGAAGATGGTGTGGAGGAGCTGCTGGTGCTGATGGATGCTGGTGCAGGCGGGTGCTGGTGTTCGAGAGGGTGGAAGTTGCGCAACACGGACGCCTGCGGAGGTGCAGGGCCGCGAGCGAACGAACCTGCCTGGTCAGTGGCATTGTGGGTCTTTGGGCCCTTGGGTCCTTCTTCGCCTGATGCTTGGTCTGCTTGGTCGGGCAGGATTGAGTCGAGGATAGTGGGGCAATGGACAGTCGGAGAAGGAGCTTTGTCGATCGCTCTTGACCCAGTGGGAAGGGTGGCGGCTTCTACCGCGCTCGGACGCCAGGTATGACCGGCATCCAGAATTACGGGCCTGCCATTTGCTTTCCTGCTCCCTGATTCCTGTTCCCCAATTCCTGCTCCCTGAGGCCAACTCCAGTGTCTTAGCGCTCTCCCTGTGCCTTTGTCGACGTACCCAGCGCCATGGTAGCTAGACCTCACTTGGCAATCACTGCGAACCCTCGCTCAATCACGACTGTTTAGTGTCACGAATGACCTTTTCAATTCGTCCTAGCTCCGGCAACTCGACGGCTTTCTCAAACAGCGACTGCCCGCCCAGGCAATCGGCACGATTCAAGTACCTTCAGCCAGTCCCCCTCCCTCTCCTCCCAACTACCAGCCCCGGCCGCTGCACTGCATCAAGCGCGCCCCCAGCCTTAGGATTCCCCCATTCAGTCGTCTGATCTCACTACCTTACGAGCCCTATGATATCATATCCTATCAGTAGGGCGCAATCAGGCTCCTTGTCAGATCTCTCTGTCATGAGGTACGGTACTCAATCAGCATCAGGTGGGACCCGAGTCTGTCCGGTGAACGACTGGCGTATGTGTCCTTCAGTCTCCTGACCTCTCCAACATGGGGTCTACAAGAGGATTTGTCGGACCCTTGCGAAATGTCACTCAATGCCCGCTTACTCGAATACGCACGACGATGACTCTTTTCTTCCTGCGCTGCCTATTGCCATCGCCAAAAGCACTGCCAAGTGTCTTCTTATGGCGACTGTGGCTGATTCGGCGGGCAAACCCGGAACGATGAACTGGCCAAGCTCTGCTCTTATGCTCCAGTGACAGAACTCGGCATCCATCGTGAAGCGAGAAATGACAGGGTGTAAACACTGCATAAATATCATGGCAGTCCAATCCACGATACATCGTACTGTCAGGTCCTCGAATGAACATCGCCCCACCAGTAATAGCACCAGTTCTATCCATGGGCACTCAGGTCGCCCCTATAAAATTCGCTGCGGCGGCAGCGCTAGCTTTCTCTACCATCATCACAGTCAAACATATCTTACAAGTCTACACGAGAATCTCTGCCGCCCCGCGACGGAGCATCACAGAAGTCGACGTTAATCCCGCGTCCTTCCTACAATCCGTTACCGTGACCCAGCATGTCAACCCAGATGGTCATCCGGCGCTACATGACTGTCGTCACATGGACGTGTCGATCCCGGAACATGCCAGAGATCTGACCGATCAAGTTTTTCTTGCGGCTTTCGTCCGGGGTTTCTTTGGCGGAAAGGTCTTTGCCCCTGAGCGGGCCGTCCTAAAGATTGCCAAGCTCGACCTTTTGAACTATCCCAGTTAGTCTCCCCGACACCCTAACCCTGGAGCGGTCATCACATCAACACTGCTGATAAGCCTCAGATCTCAAGAGAAACGCCTCCATATCGCCGGTGTGGCATGTCAACCAACTAGCCGGTGACGAGCTGCCGCCCGTGACCACAATCCTCTTCGGCGCCTTCCAGATAAGTGATAGTCAAATCCTCCGCCCAGGGGATATGTCCACTCATCCAGTGGAGTCGGAGAGCAGTGTTGACTTCGTGTTCGGCTCAAGTCAGGGGAACTTCTGCGGCACCCATCAGTTCAGTATCCTCAGAACCAAGGGACACCCTGAAAGAGCCCGTGTCAGATACGCACACGTCAGCTGCAACCCGAACGGTGGCAAGCTCCCAATGCCTGACTTCATGGCCCCTCTGCACAACCTCTATGCCATGCTGCTCTTCAGGGAGGCTGTTGGAGAGGTCAAGCGACGATTGGAGTTTCAGGATCAGAGGTGAACAGCCGACAAGGCGACCTTATCATCAAAGGCTTGAGCCAGCGCGCTATGAGGAGCATTATTCCGTAAATACATTCACAAAGACAAGTTTCTTCGCTCTTCTTCTCTCTTAATTTATCCCACAACTCCAGGAGACGGAACTCTGATTGACCACCCAACTTGAAGGCGAGGATGAAGATACAACCGTAACGCTTCTTGCAGATTAAATACTCGGCTGGCAATTGTGTTTGGCCAGAACTAGCCATCAGGTGGGGGCCGACAGCGCTCTGTTGTTCTGTATACTTCAAGAGACATGACTCTTGTCCGCGTATCCAAGTACAACCCACAAAGCCAATTTAAATCGCATCATATGAATAACCTCATGTTTGATTTTCAAGCCAAAGACTTGGGTCTGGGCTCCAATCTAGCCCAAGTTGTCTGATCGCGAGTTGATGTCTGCGGCAGCTGCAGAGTGCTTCTAGTCGCACACATTTGTTACGGCCTGGACGCCGAACTATCGGACCTATTTACTTAACTCAAAACATCGCATGCGATTTCATCCTTGAATTGCATGTTCATAGGGGGGAAATATAACAGCTTATGTGAGGACCACCTATCTATCAGCTGCAGCAAACCCCTGAAATCGGCGTGATATTCGATACTTGTCAGTGCTTGATGGACCAGAGTGAGGAGGTCTTCTATTCGTGATCCACAGGTAAAAGATAATAGGTAGGGGGTCTAACAACATCCGAGTTCTGGCCCTCAATAGGTTGAAAGGCCCTTCGCCGTCCTAATATATACGTTCTTGTAGCCCTCAGCCCCTGAATAGCCCCTATGCCGTGCCTCCGCAGGGGTCTCCTGATAGTACTAGTAGAGAATCGGTTGCGCAATCAAGCCAGAGCTATCGGCCCTTATACGAGCTTATCTCCTTTCCGTAGACCCTCGAGACTTGGAATCACATATACCGTATATTTTCGGAAAAGCTTTCTCGGGGAGGCTGACGTTGCCATCCCTTCATGATTACGGGCAAACATAGCGATGTCGACCTGAGATCTTTTCAGGATGATACGAACTACATGCACGCATGACTTCCTCCTTGGACGACTCGCTTATATAACCGGAGCTCCAGATGCGCCAGCTGGGATTGGTAATTCCTCGGAAAGCAATGTTGCTAGCCTCGCTGTTCTCTTGGCGATCAAACAGTTGGACTTCGATATTTGGCGTTGCCACCAGTCAGCTGCTTTAGTTCACCTACCCTAGGTATCTACCTATTAGAGGCAATATTTCTATTATCAGTTTCTCGAAGATGATATTCGCGAGTTTTGCGACAGTTGCAATGACTCGGCCCGGCATTTTTCGAGAATATTTAAATGTGAGGACGTCACCGTCATAGGCCAGCATTAAATCCGCTTGTAAGATAAAGCTATATATCCAGCGTCTCTCGGGTCTTGCGTGTCTATATACGCACTATAAACAGACACTCATGGTGACTTGAGATATAAGGCCTCACATTCATTCCCATGCATCACGTTTTGAAACCCCACAGCTGACCGAGCGTCTGATAACCTGATGCTTGGAACCGGAAACCGAATTACGCGGGAAGAACTGTAATACTGCTTGGAAATAGAACCGACGCAAGACCCGGACCCCGTTTTGATTGTTTTTACCGTTGGCTAGGGATCCCCAGCATATATTTAAGACTACCTTGCCGTCGTTTGGTCTCGATTATCAGCCTCAACATCTGGCCATGCTAGGTACAGCCATCAGAGGCGAAATACAGGAGAGAAGTCGTTGGAAAGCAGCTTGACGTTTCTGGTGATGGGGAAATGAGGCCCTACTTCCCTGACAGGATGAACAGCCCAACACCTTTGATATGAAAGACTGAATTGGCAAACCTTTCTTCGAATGCGCAATGCGGCTCGACTCGCAACACTGTGCTCCCTACGTGTAGCTGTTCGCGTGAGGTAAGTAGTCTTCCCGTCGGTCAACATTGAGTGCCCCCCAGTTCTTGGAGGCAATCGTTCCATGGAAGAGGCTAGATTGTATGGACAAGATCCATTGTTCTAAGGAGGTAATTTGTAGTAAACAGCCAACTTCTCGCTTCGGCGGACATGTCCCATCTGAGCTCACCTGGGTGTTTATCCTCACAGCTAAGCCTCAATCCGAACCTGTTACGGAACAGCCTTAATTGGCCTCCTAGTCACATTCAAAGGATTGTCTCGATTATCGAGAAACTTGAAGGTCCAGGGCAAGCTAAAAAAAGAAGAAGACGCGGCACGATGTTCTATCTGATGAAGATGAACATAGTCATGTCTCCGGTACAGAGCGAAAGCAAATAACATCGTTTCTCGAAAGTCCCATAGGACAGACTTCCTATGCCTTGTTCCATGGCTCAGATGTAGTAAACGCGGCTGGTAGTATCGAGAGCTGCCATCCTGCATCGGACTCGTCAATACCTTGCGTTATCGTAAATCAAGGTGACCCTGTTGCTTGTAACCTCGGAGACTTGATCTTATTCCAATACTGCCAAGCATCAATGGATGTGCGTCTGGATTCCGGAGCAGTCGGGTCAAAGTCATGGTGTCACAGTGATTCGGCGTACGTCGTCCTGTTAGAGGCGCCCCCTCAGAATCCCAGATTGTCATCATTGGCTACGTCTTGGCCGCCAAACATCTTGACTTCATGTTCATTCGTTAAGGTTCTTGCAGCAGGCGATGTTTAACTGACGACCGTTCTGCCAACTCCATTGCCGTGATGCCATTTATTCATCAGTTCCATTGGGATCTCCTTTTCTAGGCTGTGGTTCTGAGCAGGAGAGACTTCAGCGCGTGGGTGTACGAATAGCGACGCTGCTAGCGGGATTGTCAGGCCATATGGGGACTACGGCTTTGCAAAAAGATGTGGAAATGTAGAAAGTCAGTTCGAAGACAGCAGGAAATTTGGCAGATGAAATATCTGAATGAGTACTTGTAGACTAAAACTACGCCGAAGTGGCTGAAGGGCTGGAAAGTTTGGGTGGTGGGGATTCAGGGAATTCTGATTTACATTTTGTCACCTAACAGCACCTCGATGATGGCGGGTAATCTAAGTCAAGGAGCAAAGCGTCCGGGGTAGCTTGTCGGGGTGTGCTCGACGCGGACCATGCATTGTTCTAGAAAACAGTCATGGATGCCTTTCTATGACATGCCAAAGGGTCAGCTGTCAAGCAAAAAAGAACTGCCGGCTTGCTTCATTGAGCTACAGCAGCAGATCCCCCTACCCTGACCTGTAGGTACCTTACATTAGATAGGGTGGCCAGCTCGACAGGCTCGGCGCAAGCCTCCGACAGATAAGCTCTCCGATGCTCGGAATGGGAAAAGGCGTTACCAGGTCGAACATCCCCAGTGAAAGACGCACGCGGCAGCCAGCGCATGGTGCACACATCACGATGGATGCGGGGTAGACCGAGCGCGACCGAGTCAGACTCAGAAGGCGTTGTCGCCATGGACAAATGGATCTGTCATTTGGTTCCATGCCTCCCGAACGAGACCCCTCGTAGACCGACACCGACCATAATAAAGAGTCGGAAGCCCACCCCGACCTGTCACATTTTGCACTGGAAGCGGTTCCCCTATTCGGCCCTCCGACAACGTGCCACCCATCCCGAACTCCGACTCTGCAGCGAAGACAGAGGGAAAGAAAAAAAAAGGAACAAGGCCTGGCACGAGCCGAGCCCAGCAAAAATGCCAATCCTGCATCAGGAGCAGCATAAAGTGACTAAGAAGGTTTTACAGGCGTGAGTTTGGTTCTCTCCCATTGTTACCATGCCTTGTCCTCGAGTCCTACATCGAGTCGGAGACTCTGGTTTTAAGGCTTGAGTTCATGACACGGATCCTGGCCATCCGTCGCAACCCGTGATGATTGATCCATAACCCCACGGATCAACGAGTGGAACTGATGATGCCATTATTTGCAGCTGCGAGCGATGCCGATTGATGAAGGTCAAGTGCTCCGGCACCGAACCATGCGCCCGATGTACCCGCACGAAAAAGGTCTGCCAGTTTGCACCGGAAGCCAAACGGGTATCTGTGTCGGAGAGGTGAGTTTTGGTGGACTCATCCGCGTTTCTTGCCTCTTGCTCTTTTTGACCCCCAGTCTCGCCCGTCTTGATGCCATGGACACTGGAACTTACTATGGTTCTCTTGACAGCTACCTCCGAGACTTGCAAAGTAGAAACGGCCAATTGCCGACGCCGAGCCAAGTTCCTACGACCAGCCCTGCAGCAAGGACTATCTCAACTCATTTGAGTGACAGTCCTAGTGGGACATCTTACACTGACCATTACGTACCACCTCAACGCCATGGTACGTTCCAGCATTGCCTTGTACTGAGCACATGTTGGGGATGTCTTATGATTGAAGAGCAAACACCGTCTAACATTTGCAGCATCCTCAAGCTATCGCCCCCCAAGTCCCCGGCGGCAGCTCGACAGGTTCACAAGGCATGCTGACGAGCGGCGGCAGCCCGCACGCCAGCAAACTCTCTACCACCAGCACCCACAGCACAATGACGACCAGCGTCCCGAGCACGAAGATGAGGACAACACCCGCGCCTCGTCGCCGACTCATCCTGTGAACCACAATTTTTGGCAGAATCCCCTCGTTGACAATGACTACACCTTCGCCAAGGTCGAGGGCCGATATTGGTACATGGGCCCTTCATCCACCTGGGCTCTCTGTCGCCGCGTCCTCGCCCTCATCGGGAAGCGCATACCCGAGGGCACATCGGCGCCGGACCCCTGGCATCTCGACGGCAAGGCCTTGCGGCTTCGCTGGCGACCTGTCGCCCTCGACGAGACACCCGATGTGTCCAACCTTCCGCCTCTCGACTACGCCCTGTTTCTTTTCAACACTGTCAAGTTCTACCTGGGCCTCGTCTTCTACATCATCGACGAGCCGACGTTCCTGAGGAACCTGCACGAGTTCTACGAGAACCCCGTCGTCAAGGCTTCGGCGTGCAGGAGCTGGTTTGCGCAGTACTTGTTCGTCCTGGCGTACGGCAAGGCTTTCATCGTCAACCAGAGCTCACCCGAGGGCCCGGCCGGGTATCAGTACGCTGTCAGGGCCATGGGCATGCTGCCGGACCTGTCGGGGCTCGACTCTGATCAGATATCGGGCATCCAGGCGCTGGCGCTCGCCGCTGTGTATTTGCAGTCAGTCGACATGCGGCTTGCCGCGTTTCAGCACGTGAGTCTCTGCACCATGGACGTTTAGACAATGGTGGCGTGGCTGACACCGTACTAGATCGGCCAGGCGCTGCGCATCTGCATCATCGAGGGCATGCACCGGCACATGCCCGAAGACGTCGTCGGCGAGGCCTACTCGCAGCAGTGCAACGTCGTCTTCTGGGTCGTCTACCAGCTCGACAGGGAGTTCTCGGCCCTGATCGGCGCGCCGAGCTCTATCCGCGACGAGGACATCACCGTCAGGTCGCCGTCCGAGATGTTCTCGTCCATTGACATGCTGAACATGGGGCTGCAAGTGCGGCTTTCGCGGCTCATGGCGCGCATTTTGACTAGTGAGTCGAGGCCTCGTGAACAATCTGCCTGTTGGAAACTTTGCTGAGAGCATGAAATGTAGCGGTCTATGGTGCCGGCAAGCAGTTTGACGGCTCGCTTGTGAGGAACACGAAGTCGATCCTGAGAGACCTGGCTCAGCTGTCGAAAGACCTGAATCACCACCTCAACACACATTTTCAGGGCACCATTAGCAAGACGTCACGCATCGCCCTCCGTCTCATCCTCTCCTACCATTATGTATGCCTCTCTCCCTGTCTGATCATTGCTTGTGCGCTGGTTGAAAAAGAAAAAGTATACTGACGCAAAAACAGTGCGTCGTCCTCACGACGCGACCCCTCGTCATGTGCGCCCTGCACATGCACATTGAGCAAAAAGACACGCCCAACTCGCAAGCCATAGCACTCGCGCCGCCCGTGGCCTCGCTGATGCAGTCGTGCGTCGACTCGGCCCAGACGGTGCTGCACACGCTGCGCGTCATTGGCGACGAGGACCTCCTCGAGGCGTTCCTCCCCTTCCAGCTCGAGGATGCCTTCTCCTCGGCCTTCATCCTCTACCTCATCCGCGCCATCACGCCGGCGCTCATCCAGGACAACAACTGGACCGAGAACATACGCAGCGTTCTCGACAAGATGATCTCCAAGGGCAGCATAGTCGCGCCGCTGAGGAAGCTCGAGCTGAGCCAGCTTGAGATGGTGACGGCCGTGTTGAGTCCGACTGGAAACGTCGGGGGTTGTGCCAAGGAGCCCATGGCGGCAGCGGTGGAGCATGATGAGCAGGAGGCGGCGCAGACGCACGACGAGGCGGATGAGGCTGGGTGGGACATGTTCATGGCGGACTGCATGATTGGGCTGTCACCGCGGGAGATGCTAGACCTGGCGGAGCAATTGGGTGCCGAGAGCATGTTCAGCCCGTATGGGCATGTCGATGAGTAGAGTAGAGTCCAGTAAATTGCTCATTCGCTCAGCCTGTCTGATGCGCGGGAGAAAACGAGATGCTGCTCGAGCAGACATTTTTCTTTTGGCGTCGCCATGTCTCATCATTCGTGAAAGTTGTACGTTCGTGAGGAGAAAGTCCCAAGGAAGCTTTACAGTCTAGTGAAGGCCTAGAAGTCTGGGACCTCGACTCCCACGTCGTGCTTCCCAGCCAGCTCGAGCAGGGCCTTGCCCAAAGCGAGATCCATGATGCCAACGCCAACGCTCTTGTAGACGACCAGTCCGTCCTCCAGCTTCTGTGAAAGCGTCTCCGCTACACGCTGGTCGCCCGCTTCCTGGGCATGCACAATCTGGCCTATCTCCATGATCCTCTCAGCTGGTACCTCTGCCTCGACAATTTCGCCTGCCTCAAGATAGCAAGCCTCGCGACTATCAACGACCAGCAACCCACCCAGATCCGTCTCCGTCATGGCCCGCAGAAACGCAGGCGGGATTTCCTTCATGTCGAGCTTGTACGATCCAATGGCCGCAATGTAGCGCTTCTTCGCTCGGCCCTCTTCGGAAGTGAGCCACTCGGCACGGAACAGCTCGACCCTGGACGGCGTCGTACAAAATATAACGTCGGCACCAACTACCGCGTCCTGCAGTCCAGGCGTTTCTGCCGTCGCCTCGGGATCCGCTTCCATGACGGTGAATTGAATGTGATCCGCGTCCGGGCTCCCTCCGCCCATCCCCTTCAACCGCGTGATCATGTCGTCTGCGCGACGTTTCGATCGGTTGACGACGGTGATGCTCTCAATGTCGCCGCCGCGAAGCAGCAGCGCCAGTCGCAGGTGCCAGAGCGCCTGCTTGCCGGCGCCAAAGGCAACGATGCGAGCCGTTCTTCGTCGGCGCTGGTACAGCAGGATCGAGCCGAGGGACGTGCGAAAGGCGGTAAAGGCCTCGGCATTGATGACGCCGACGCCACGGCCCTCGGCGTCACAGATGGTTAGCACGCAGCGCAGGGCCGACGGGGGTCCGCTGGCACCGGCGTCAGCAGATCTGGGAGGGGGTACGCCGACGATCTTGACGGAGAGCCCGTTGGGGGTGGTGGCGGGCATGAAGAGGGACGTTTGGCCGTTGGGCCGAGTGACGGCGGCGCGGTGGGGCTGGTGTTCGGCCTCGTTGTCGCGGGAGTAGGCCCGGAAGGCCTCCCGGAGGACGGCGGACATGTAGGACACATCCTCGGCAGTAAAGGCGTCGAAGAGGGCCTTGACAGCGGCGTCGGAAAGAACCGTGAACATTCTTCTTTCGATGGCCCGGCCAAGGGTTAGGGTCAAAGGTTAGGGTCAAAGTTAGGGTGTGATTCGGGCCTTCGGCTCGGCTGACGCGGGTAGCTTGATCTGGAAGCTCGCTGAGATGAAGGTTTAATCTCAGACACTGCTTTGTGGTGTGGCAGAGCGCGATAAGGATGGTTGCTTGCCAGAAGAGATGTGCCACAAGAGATGTGCCACCGCGACAGCGAGGGGCGAGACAGGGTCACAGAGGGCAAGGCAAAACAGCGCACTCTCGGCACGTCTGCGCTTTCGGAATGGTCTCATGCATGGCGTCGCACGATCTCGTCTGCTAAGCATGCGGATCAACAACATAAACATGCTCACCCACCAATCCACCAACGAACTGTGTTGAGGAGCCCCAGAGCAACAGGGCGATGAGGGGTAGGTTCCAATGGTAGTCCGGCAATTGGCAATGTCGTGGGTCTTATGCCCGAGAAACGAAGCTCAACCCTTGTAGCCTTGTGCCTCAGCTGAAGGGTCAATGTCGACGCCCCCTGTCTGCCCCTCGTCTGTGGCATCTCCCGCCATTAGCCGCTTGGCTTGTGAACCTGCAGCAGCTCGTACATGTACATGTACATGTAGAGCGGGGAGTCATTTTGAGACTCGAGGGCCGTTACCGAAACGGCCTCTTTGGTCTGCTTTCCTTACACTCTGGCCCAAGGCTCTGTAGACGTATCGACGACGGTCAATTCATCATGAGGACCAGCAGCAGCATCTCACGCAGCCTCGGCGCTCTGCGTCTCCAGGCCGTCCAGGCGCCGAGGGCACACGCCTCGAGAGCATGGCACAGACAAACGCACGCTGCTGCCGCCGTTGTTGAGGACATCCCTCTGCCGCAAACCCCTCCCCCTTCCTCGGTCGCCACGAGTCACAACACCACCGCAACGACAAAACACGATGCGCAGCGCATCTTCCGCGACGCCCTGGCGGCGACGGAACCTAGGAACACCTGGACGCGGGAGGAGATCTCGGCCATCTACTACCAGCCCCTCATGGACCTCGCCTACCAAGCGGTACGTTGGCCACGATGCACCAGCTTTTGATTCAACCGCCGACTGACTGACCGTTCCTAGGGCTCTGTCCATCGACGCTTCCACAACCCTGCCGAGGTGCAGCTCTGCACCCTCATGAACATCAAGGTCGGCGGCTGCAGCGAGGACTGCTCGTACTGCGCGCAGTCGACACGATACCAGAAGGAGACCAAGCTCGAGGCGAAGCGTGTCGAGACTGTCGAATCCGTCCTCGCGGCGGCGGCCAAGGCCAAGGCCAACGGCAGCACGCGTTTCTGCATGGGCGCGGCGTGGCGCGACATGCGCGGTCGCAAGAACAGCCTGCGCAACATCAAGTCGATGGTCGAGGGCGTCAAGGGCATGGGCATGGAGGTGTGCGTGACGCTGGGCATGATCGACGCCGAGCAGGCGCGCGAGCTCAAGACGGCCGGGCTGACGGCCTACAACCACAACGTCGACACGAGCCGCGAGTTCTACCCGTCCGTCATCTCGACGCGCACCTACGACGAGCGCCTGCAGACGCTGTCCCACGTGCGCGACGCCGGCATCAGCGTCTGCTCTGGCGGCATCCTCGGCCTCGGCGAGACCTCCGAGGACCGCGTCGGCCTGCTGCACACCGTCTCCACGCTGCCGAGCCACCCCGAGAGCTTCCCCGTCAACGCCCTCGTGCCCATCAAGGGCACGCCTCTCGGTGACCGCGAGCCCGTCAAGTTCACCGCCATGCTGAGGACCATCTCTACCGCCCGCATCCTCATGCCCGCTACCATCATTCGCATCGCTGCTGGCCGCAAGACCATGTCTGAGGAGCAGCAGGCCATGTGCTTCATGGCTGGCGCCAATGCCATCTTCACCGGCGAGAAGATGCTCACCACCGACTGCAACGGCTGGGATGAGGACAACGCCATGTTTGGCCGCTGGGGCCTCGAGCCCATGAAGAGCTTTCAAAAGTCGAAGCAGCCGTCTGCCGATATCGGTATGGCTGCGTGATGGGTAGTAGAGTCGTGGATAGAAAATGCGAATTCGTTTCACCCGTTGAAGTCTGGTCCAGAATGGTGTGGTTTCCAAGCATGTCTTCACGATGGTGTCGCCTGTTGCTCCCAGCGAGGTCGATGTATCGATACCGCGGCCTGTTTTCGAAAGAGATCCATAGATGAGAATCGCCATACATCGCATTGGAGGCATCCTCCTTGATGGCACGCATAGCGACCCTATGAAGTGATCTCAAGATTTCTGGTCTTCAGGAATACTGGGCCGGTCGAGCGGATATCGGCCATGCTGGAGGAACGTTCCGCGGAGGGTGTTTGTCTCGCAATGTTCGTGTGTTTCGCCCTTGATTCGCTTGCCTCCTTCATTGAACCAGAGGGACCTAGCATTCGTGGAATGGTGTGCTGTTGAGCCTTGGGTGAATGTTGTAAGGGGTAGGCTTCACATTAAGTGAGCAGGGAAAAGATCTCGACCTGGAGCGGCTACCCGCCAAGAGCACCGACATCCGGCCATGTTGTCTCTGCCAACCAACAACCAGCAGTCTCCACTGGTGCACAATTCCTCGCTGCTGAACGAGGGTGAAAATATCGTGTAAGTCATGCTTGATCGTTAATGAAGTATTACGGATACAGTAACGCTCACTGGAGTGCCTAGTCCAAATCCCTTGCGTGGCAACCGAGCCGCATGGGTGCCAGGACCACGCCCAAGTTCCGCCGACAGTCAGCTTGCACACTGGCTCAACAAAATCAGAGAGCCCTTCTTTCAGGCGATCACACCTCAAGCTTTCAGCAGAGGCTGAAATACCCACGGGGAAGGCGACGTCGCCTCCTCGAATGGCAGAAACGGCTCGTCACATTCCGTGCCCGGACTCGGTAGCGTCCCCTCCTGAAAGTACGTGTTGATATACGATCGTGTACAGTTCGAAGGCGCCGCAAGCGATGTGTGCTAAATTCGTCAGCACCACTGTCTGCTCGTACTGCGACCAAGGACCATACTTACGCCGTACGAATTCTGCACCAGCACCACGGAGCCCGGGAACCCAGCCGAGTTGTTCCGCGCGCTGATGAGGGGTGTCGTGTTATCGGCCATGTTGGCAATGTAGAGAATGGGATGCTTCGTTTTCCCTGTAAAGGGACCTGGTGATCAATCAGCCTAGTCCTTCTGCAAGTTGTACCCATGCTGGCGAACAGGAAGACGAACCTTGGAATCGCCACTTTGGCTTGGCCGTTCGCCCGAGGCAGACCATAGAGTGCAATGCATTGACAGCCCCAGTCGCCGGGCTTATTCCGAGCATCGCGTTCGCTTCCTCTAGGATCTGGTCCATCGTGGCGTTGTGCCCATGAAGGTTGCGATCCGCGCACCTCACTGCTGGGAAGGTATCAGACGTCCCCTCCGTGACATCCGGCAGCGGCTCAAAGGGAGAGACTGGCGCGCCAGCACATATAGGCGCCGAAGAGGGCTGTTCCGGCTGATAGTGCTTATAAAATGGTCGTGCATCGCCCTTCTCGAGCGCCGCAGCGATGCGCGCAAAGCCGGCAAACTGCGCCTGGGGCTGGTACAGCGCCGAGAAGAGGAGACGCTTGAGCTCCGACCACGTCACGAGCTCCGGGACGGCAGGGCCCTCGTCGCTGGGCGAGATGATGACGGGGTGCCGCTTGACGGCCGCGAAGAGACGGTCGAGCCGTTCCTTGATGCGGTGCGGCGTGTCCTCGTAGAACGCGCACTTGGCGGGCCCCGCCTGGTGACAGGAGTCGTAAAAAGCCTCGACGACCTTTTCCGTGTCGTGCACAAAGTTGAGGTGCTTCGTGTTGAACCACTCTTCGTAGTCGACGTTGCCGTCGCTGACCAGCCTCTCTACGCGGTCAGGGTACATGGCAGCGAAAACGCCGCCGAGGATGGTTCCGTAGCTGAAGCCCCAATACTTGAGATTCTCGTGGGATCCCTGATTCACAATCTCGAGCAGGTCACGGGCGGCGGAGACGGAGCCGGAATGCCGCAGAAGTTCCGAGTCGTTCATGGCGCGCTCGCAGGCCTGGGAGTAGGCAGTGGCACGAACATGGAGATCCGAGATGATGCCGGCATGAGAGTCAAAGACGCCGGGGTCGCGGAGATTCCATGACTTTTCTTGCTCGGGGGTTTCCCAGCACTGATGGCGGGGCGTGGATGCGCCGACTGACAATGTTAGGTCCCTTGGAATTGAGAAATTGGAACAGGGATTTGACTGACCACCGCGAGGATCGTAGCTGATGATATCCTGCGCATTTCAGCATGGATGTGCGAAAATAATGCAAGGGCAAGATGCATTGGAGGCCACTTACATGATTCTCACCAACAATCTGTTGAAGCAGCTTGCCGTGGTTTCGCAATGACCACACTCCTGAACCGCCAGGACCCTAACGTGGTCAGCCATGGACAAGTGACCAGATGGGCTCCCAACTTACACCGGGGTTAAAGATGACGGGCCCTCGGTAATCAGTTTTATCCGTGGCACGTATTCGAGCAATCGCCAACACAACCCTCCGCTCACCCCAAGGGTCTTGCCAGTCCATCGGCACCTTGATCAGATCAGCAGCCTAATAGCTAGCCGTCGATCAAGAAGAGCAGGATACTCACGTCCAATCTGGCGCAGTCATGTTGCCCATCTTCGAAGCAGCCATGCCATTCTAGCGTCCGGCTCGGCTCGATCTGAACACGGCTTCAATCACAGGGGACAGCAAACAGTGGAGGCACACACACTCACGTCGGACCAACTCCACCTAGAAGGTCGTGGGCCTGGGGAAACAGGGGAACCAGTACCACCCAAGGGGGCCACTACCAAGCCCAGAGGACTCCGCTGACCGCAGACTAGCACTAAGGCCGCAACCGACGCGAAGGCCAGAACGGCGCCGACGCGCTGGTTACCCCATCGCTTTGGGTCAGGCATGTCGCGCGGGCTTCGCATCGTCGGGAGAGGCGCGCACTTATCGCTCATTGCCACGTTAGATATCGGCGAGGCGCCATACAGCTTCGTGTGCTGGAGGCACGAGGGCAAGAAGGAGATGAGGAGAAGAATCCAGGGTCTGATCTGGGCATGATGCCTCACTCAGCGAGCACGGGACACTCGATGAACAAGATCAGCAGAGGATGGTTCGTTTGGGATTAGCGCTGCAGCAGGTGTTAGACCCCTATCATTGGCGCAAGACAGGTATATCCACGGTGTTGGGGGGGGGCCAAGGGGGCCTGAATGCTGCGAGCTGCGAGCTGAACACCCAAGACGGGTGAGGCTTGCAGCGAGCTTCAGGAGATAAGGCGAGATCTACTTCGACCTCAAATCTGCGCTGGATCGGCCGTGGTTGACCTCCATGGCAGCCAAGCTCGTAACAAGACGCCAATCCCCCAGTCTAGGCCCAGCGTGAAGATATGATGGGAAGTGATCGAGCAGAGACACCGAGAATAAGGGACCTGAAAGATAACGTATCTGGTCGATCTATCAGTCCCCTTCACCACCTCAACAGGTCTGAAACAGTCAATCAGGATGATGGAACAGCGGTGATGATAAGGCTTCTCTAATCAGGCCACAGCATGCACAGCTGTCACAGGTCAGGCTAATTGGCGAGCACACGGTTGGCCACTTTGACGAGCCTAGGAGTTGGCAGACCTGGAACGAGGCTTCATGCCTACATTCATGAGTCGAATACATGACTATGAAGCCGAGAGCGAAGTAGCAGGCACGAAGCTGGACTCGTCACTTCATTGATCATAGAGCAAGAAGACTGGTATTGCAGTACCTTGGCTTAACCACCTGGGCTCTGAGCCTGCATGCAGCCCTACGCTGCCAGGTTTCGGGCTAAGGATTCCTTCGACTTGGCGGGTGAAGATAAGGTCGATCTGTGGTGACTCTTGGGTATCTGAATTGCTAGCTGGGAAAGTCGTGTTCGCCATTTGAACAGTCGTTCAATGTGGGAGGAAGCGACACGAAGTGCCATCCCGAGCCAGTGTGGTCATAGGGTTTCTGCAACAGTCGCGAATGACGACAACAGGGCTGACGCCGCATTCTTCGTCATCCAAGACGGCCTCGTCATGGCGTCACTCTTATCGTCGCTAGCCAAGTGCTTGACAGCTAACGTGTAGGGTTGCCACCTCCACAGGGTGGCCGGGCGAGAATGTCCTACGATCGGAGCTCACGGCCTTTGTTTGGACTGAGGGCCCTGGGTCTCCTAAAATGGGGAAAGACAAACAATTAAGTAAACTCTGGGGAAGGGTCGGAGGCGCACACGCCCTAGCATTCCGATCCCGATGCCTCCACCCAGCTTGGCACTTTCTTCGAGGTCACGATGCCTCCAATTTTGGGTTCTGCCCCAGAACCTGCCGCGACAAAGCGCATCATCCCGAATGCCAAAGCAGTCTCAGGAAGGGAAGCTCCGCAAATCCCGGTCTCTCCCTGGATGGCATTGCCGGCGACCTGGCGAGATGGGCAGCTAGAACCATGCGGATGCCGCTGACATGACGCTTCCAAGTGTCGCCTCCCTCATTCAGCCAGACGTCCCCAGCCCCCAGCCGAAAACGGCGACTGAGAGATAGCATGCCAGGGGGAGGGATAGGCAGCTTGAGGCGCAGAACTTGGGGCCAAACAGGGGCCTCTGAGGGCGGCATTGGGACGTTTGTACCACGTGGTGGGTGTCACAAGACCAAGCAACGGAGCAGATCCAGCACTCTCTGACTCTGAGCCTCCCTCGCCTTCGGCCGCGCATCGGATCCCGACGCAGGGTCCCTGCAGCGCTGTCTCAGCGCGGCGTTACGTGTGGTCGGAAGGGTGCTCCGATCGGAGCTTATCAATCCCACTACAGATGGGCTGCCAGAGTCGGGATGCTGATCCGAGTGTGGCTCTGTCATGGTATCGGCTCCCATCGGTGCGATCGTGACGGCCACCCGCCGCCATTTGTTTGTGTGACAAGCACAAACGAAACAACGAGACCGAGACCGAGACCGTCTTATCTTTGAGTTCCGAAGAGGCTAACGGATTTGACGTGACCATGATGCCTCCACCCGTGCTATATAGAAGACCCCCTTGGGCGCCCACCCTCCACCACTATGCTCCCGTCATAACCACACCAAACTTGTCACACACAACATGTCTTCGCTATATGTTGCACCAAGACGCCTCGGCGCTCCCCTATCAAGGGCGTTTACGAAGAATGAGCCTAGGAGGTTCATCAGCAACATGCTCAACACACCAGAGTCCCACCACGCGTTGATGAGCTCGCCACCAGCCGCCGAGCCACCGGCGCTTTCACGCATGCCCACGACGACTCTCATCCGCTCTCTCCTCCTCACATCCTGCATGTCCTCGGAATGGATCATGCGCCCATCACTAGCCATCATGAACCTTATCGTCAAGTCCAAGTCACCACTACTCAACCCCGACAAGAACCCCGTCCTCAACAAGATGCTGCGATGGACCATCTACGACCAGTTCTGCGCTGGCACGAACCGCCAAGAGGTCGCGCGATCAGTCGCTGAGTTCAAGAAGTTTGGGTACCAAGGAATCATTCTGAACCACGCCAAGGAGATCGTCCTCAGTGCCGATGCTGCCAAGGCAATCGAAGCCGAGGGCGAGAAGCAGTACGCGCCGGAGTGCTATGAGATGATCACCAAGTGGAAGGAGGGCACCCTGTCCACCCTGCCAATGCTCGAAAAGGGAGACTTCCTCGCTCTCAAGTAAGTGTCTCCCCATTGCTGTGTCGCCGAGAAGAGACTACTAACACCATTGCAGACTCACTGGTGCTGGTCCCATCGCTGTCGACGCTCTCCGCGCCCAGAAGCCCATCCCCGCCGTCATCCAATCCGCCCTTGACGAGATCTGCCACGCCACTGCCGCCCAGGACTCGCACCTCTGGATCGACGCCGAGCAACAGGTTCTCCAGCCCGGCGTCGACGAGTGGACCATCGCCCTGATGCGCAAGCACAACGCCGGCCTCTCGGCACCGCTCGTCTTCAACACGATCCAGGCTTACCTCAAGGCCTCCAAGGCCAACACGGAGCGTCACATCCGGCTCGCAGCGGCCGAGGGCTGGGCCCTCGGCATCAAGCTCGTGCGCGGCGCCTACATCGAGCACGAGACGCGCTCCCTGATCCACGACACCAAGGAGGCGACGGACGCCATGTTCGACGACATCGCCGATATGCTCCTGACGCAGCGCATGCCCGACGGCTGCGGCCCCGACGCCCAGTTCCCCGCCGCCGCGCTGTTCCTGGCCACGCACAACGGGCCGAGCACCATGCTCGCCCTCGAGACGCATATGAAGAGGTCGCGCGCCGGCCTGCCGACGGCGCGCCTTGAGTGCGGCCAGCTTGTCGGCATGGCGGACGAGCTGAGCTGCGAGCTCGTGCAGAACTACGAAAAGTGCACGCGCGAGGGCACAATGAGCGCCGCCGAGGTGCCCAAGGCGTTCAAGTACATGGCGTGGGGGTCCGTCTCCGAGTGCCTGGGCTACCTGCACCGCCGGGCCATTGAGAACAAGGGCGCTGTTGAGAGGACACATCAGATGGTGGACGCGCTGCGCAAGGAGCTGTGGCGCCGGGTCGTTGGTTAGAGATGCATTGGGACGGAGTACGGTTACTTCGAGATCTTAGACGGATGACGTTTGCATGTTGAAAACTACAATGGGAACCGGGAGGGGGAAACGGAGGACTTAGCGAGCGTTGATACCAAGATGAATATGATCCGAGGCTTACTGCCTCGATGAATGACGTTACCTGCAAGACCAGAGCCGCATCAATCCCTTCTGTGTGTCCTGTCATGCATGGTTCGCGGAGCATCTGCTACGGCTTTCCCCAGTCTTTCCCCGGTTTTTGACAAATCTGTCAGTCGGACGCCTCAGCCCGGCCATCCATTCGGTGCCAAGGAGCTGAGCCCGGGTGACAAGCTAGCGATCTCGATGTCGATGTGAGACTGGGTTTGTGACGGGACACATACCAGGCACTTCGGGATGATGTCAGTGACAATGGCTTAAGCATATTGAATAAAACAGAAAAAATTGTCTTGTGCACTTGAGGCGCCCTCGTCATTCAAATTGCCAGAAGATATCCAGTGAACCGCTCCATCCAACACAAAGAGAGATGCCGATGTACATCATTAGATCACATGATTGTCCGGGGCCCCATGACGATACCTTGGTTGCGTGAGCTTTTTCAACCATCTAGCATTGGTTGTTCAGCCTGAGCACCTACCAGCACTAAGATAATCGAGCTTCTCGAATTGGCTGCCAAGAAATGTGATCTCGTCCAGCAGACTCTCTTTCTCGAAGACTTGTGAGGTAGTCGTCTTTGCTTCCCATTCGTCCAGACATTGATGCTGTACCAGTCAGTATCACTGATAGTCCGTACGAGACCACAGCCGGGGATTCTCACCACCCAATTGAACATTCGCGTGTGATACCTCACGCGTGCGACGGTCTGCCTGATACACACTTTCCGTCGTTCGTCTTCAACGGAAGGCTTCATGAGGAGCGCGTGGCTAAGAACGACGGAAGCGAGGGTCAAAATCTGCCCGGCCATGTAGTTATGTATGTCGAAATCCCCTTCCCTCCAGGCATAATCCACAATATCCGCAGTCGCCCGAGCGTGGGCGTGACATTCGTGCCCGAGATTGGAAAAGTAGAGCAATTGGCCGATATGATGGTATAACATGTGCATGTGCAGGAAACTGCGGAGGCTATCCTTTTGTCGATGATATTCGAGATTCGTCGTAGTGTACTGTTGAAGTGGCTCATCGGCCCATCGATTTCTAAAGCTGGACCTGAGCTCCGCCGAGTTGTTGTTCTGTCTCGACACCGCGACAAGCAGCTCAGACAGATTGACAATCTCCTGGCTGACTGAAGTCTTGCGACAAAGCACGATCGGCTCCCTTCTCTTGAGCGCCCAAAAGTCGTCGTCCGCCATCATTGTGGGTATTCTCTCTGTCAGGTGCGGCGTGAAGCGTAATATGAGCGACACAAACCGATCCATGAGGGCAACGGTCGATGCCAGTCGGCGGCTGCACTCGAGACGGACAGGGTCAATTTCTGCACTCGTGTCCAGCAAGCGAAGGACTTTGACCATGTTCGCAGCGAAGCCTGGCCCATCGTCAGTCCAGTCAACGGGATAGAGTACTTCCAAGCCCACCAAGATAGAGGAACGCCTGTCTTGCCCCGCCGTACAACAGCTTATATGTTGCAAGCAGCACGTATGCCTGCGCCGCGGCGATAGAGGGCCGGTCCCACTCCTCCTTGACAAGGCTCCTCGCGTGTTCGAACAAGATCTCGCCCCGGTGGGCCGGCGACAGTGCCTCGCGGAATGGCGCCACAGAGAATCGAATGCTCAGCGCCATCATGGCAAACAGCACCATTTCCGACACCTCGCTCAGGGCATAGCGGCGTAGGAACACCTCTTCGTCGAAGAGAAAGTGAACATCTCCAAAGTTGCTAAAGTAGAGAAGCAGGAGGGACTGTGCGAATTGAGCTTCGCGCAGTATCTCCTCTGGTCTGCCGCCGCCAATGTCCAGCCCGACCGTCTCGTGCTGAAGGGCGTAGCACGACTGAGGCGATGCCGACGAGGGCGAGGGATAGTGCTGCGGTGCGTGGACGTACGAGCACGTCGTGTTGCGAGACGTGCATCTCTTACACTTGTCGCCGGGGCGCTGAGAGAGGCATCTCACTTTGCTCAAGCTGGTCAGGGTTAGAGTCCTGTAGCGTGTTGAAGTCGATCGTCGAGCACCTACCGGCACGATGTACAGGCGTTTCGAGGCATGGTTGAGGTTGAAGTTGGCCGCGAGTCATGCATGCTGCAGCATATGGCATATGGCTCCATTTCGTGGATGATGATATCGGAGCTTAGGATCACGCCAACCTGGATTACGGATTCAGTGCAGCCACGCCCCAATTCTGCATTTCGTCTGCTTTGGTATAACTCACGTCCAACTGGCTATCTAGCCCTTCTTGACGTCCTGCAGGCCGTTTACGTACCGCGTCTTCTCCGCATCGACGAGAAGGGGTCCATTGAACACCTCAGCAATGGCCTCAAGACTGCGCCCAGACGTCTCGGGGGAGAACAGGTACACGCACGCCAGCTCCACGACCAGCCACACGACGCACACGATGTAGTACTTCCACCATAAGGCCTGCAGCCCAATAGGATTGACGAATCCGTTGACGAAACCCGACCCTTTGTTGAAGAACATGAGTACCGAAAAGCCCTCAGCCCTGATGAGATAAGGCAAGACTTCGACTGGCTATGAATACAGCAATGCATTAAAGGCAAGGTTGAAGAAGACATGGAATGGTAACAACATGGCCAGGGCGCCGTACCCTGCTGACTTGATGCCGCGCTCGTTGTAGAGCCCCGCGCAGAGCGTCTGCGCGCTGAACACAGCAAGCATGCCCGCTACCAAGATGATGAACTACGTGCGTCGGCAGACACGGCGGGTGGCAAAGGCGGAAGAACAGCAGTGATTCAGTTGAAGATCATGAGGCAGCCGTTGATGATGTTTACATGGTGCTTGTTAGTCATGCCAGCTGTTTCGAGCACACGCACGAGATGGTACGAGACTAGACCGTTGCCGGACCATTGCGAGAACAGGCCGAGGAGCACAGGGACGAGAATGCGGCGGCGTTTACCAGGGGTCTTTAGCAGAAAACGCCAGCCGGTATTGTTCGCCATTTCGGCCTCGATTACGGCGCGCATCTCGCGATACTCCAGATCGGCTAGTTGCGACTTGCCGTCACCGTTGCCATGGTACTTGAAGAGGAAGGCCTTGGCTTGCTCAGGCTAGCCATTTGCGATCAAGAAACGGGGTGATTCAGGGAGAAACCAGAGGCCTGCGATTTGGATAGATGCGGGGGCCGCCTGAAGGTAGGTAGGAGGGGATACGCCAGGCCCAGTCGTTTGGAATTGTGAACGTTCTGAATGTGCTGGGTTCAAGACAGACGAATCGACAATTTACTTGAAGCACAACCCACCTCCATGTGGCTAAAATGGCACCGAGATACTAGGATGTCTGGTCCGCAAGGTGATGACCTGCCAGTCCTTGGGATGAGCCAGCTCCCCAATCAACATTGGTGCGTAGGTATTGGCAAAAACCAGCCCGAAGGCGATGGTAAAGCGTGACACCACGAACATTGTGACTGCTCTCGTCAGCGAAAAGATCTAAGGCTCTGGCGACGAGACTCACTGTTGACAGAAGCACCCTGGATCACACCGCTAACCAGCATGATGACAGCGCCAAAGAAGATGCCAAAACGGCGGGCCCAGCGGTTACTGGTGGAACTGATGAAGGGGGTTGCCACAGTACAACCAAGTTCAATGACAGCATTGCAAAGTCCAAGAATGACGCCGCGCGGCTTGTCAGAATCTGGTCGCTGGTCTGCCCCATGTCTGTCGTTCTGATCTCTTTGGACGCCACTGACATTCATCCCATGCAGGCACAGCTTGGTGACGTTCATAATAGCAGCGTGAAAGTCAAGAGTTACAGCAAGCATCAAGTATGCTAGAATGATAAGCAAACGGAGGATGAGGAGGCTGTGGCTCTTGTAGAAGGGTGGTGCTTCTTTGGCGAGTCTCGTGAGCTGCTGGTCTCATCGTCTCAGCGACGACAGTGTCGGAGACAGTTCTCTCCTTGCCATTTTACTGGACGGCCATGGTGTTGGCGTGTGACGTTCGACATGCAAATAACGCGTCTAATGCAGGCAGATATATCGGCCGAGAGCTAAGAAGTAGTCCATCAACTTGGGAGGGTTGAGAAGATCCCCTGTCCAACTCGACTGGATGACTGCTTCATCTTATAGACCTCTCGCGTCGCTGTTGACTGAGGCATCACACGATAAGCAAATCATGGCAAACGTTGCGTCGTGATGCCATTTAATGGCGACAACCGCCAGCATCTCGTTGTAGTCCAGAAGCTTTCGGAGCCTAGGCTTTCATGACAAGGTGTGTTGGCTTCCGCCGAAAACCTGCCTGGACATGGCTGACACTGACACAGCTACAACCGAGTTCATGGCACACATGTTGCCGACTCGTCTCGCTGGTCAATGGTGTCCTTCGAGGTGAATGGGGCTTCGACGGTCTCTTCATCTCGGACTGGATGGGCACGTACTCGGCCCAGGCATTGAAGCTGGCGTCAACATTGAGCTGCCAGGTCTCGCAGATAGAAGACCTACGAATCTGATTCCAAAATTGTGAAAGACGGCTCGCTGTCCGAAACTGTCATCGACAAAAGTGCTATCAGGGTGCTTGATCTGGCCCGCCGTCTTGGGCGCTTCGAGAACCCTGAAGAGCCGCCGGAGCGCGCGGTTGAAGATGCTGATAGAGACAGGTTCATCAAAAGCCGGGGCAGACGGTATCACTCTGCTGAAGAACCAAAATGATGTTCTGCTCATAGAACAGGGGTCCGCGGTAGCCATGATCGGTCAGCACTCGTGGTCTGACGTGCTCGGCGGCGGCAGCGCACGCGTTGATGCACTGCACGCGATACCGCCTGTCCAGGGCTTCCGGAACCTTGTTTTCACAACCTTCGAGGCCCGCGGCGTTCCCGTGTTCGGAGCCGTCCCTCATGCCGACCCGAGCATCGTCTTCCCTCGCGATCGCAAGACTGTCTCGTCGAGGCCAGTGAAAGTAAAATGGTTCAACGGACCAATCGTCGGCACGAATCTCGCCCACGAGGAGACCATCCCGCAAGCCGAGTACATGATCAAGGAAAAGTGACCCAAATATCTTGACGAGGACTTCTCAACACGCATCACGTTTGACCTGGTAGCGCCCTCGACCGGCTAACCACATCTCCGTCATCAGCACCGGCCGCGCAACGCTCAACATTGACAGCGAGCTCGTGTTCGACCGTCGGAAGGAGACCAAGCTGCGCTCAGAATCCTTCTACTTCTTCAAGCAGCACCTCGAAAGGGGCGCCGCTACGGAATCAAGCTCGAGTCCTGGGCCTGCGACCCCGCCACCCTCAACGCAGCACCGATCTTCGGCAAAATGTTTTCAAGGCAGCGCCGTGCGGTTCCACGAGGAAATCGGCCTGGCCCGCGCAGGCCGAAGCCGCCGAGGCCGTTGCCGCTATCGTGACCGCAGCGCGTCGAGGACGGGTCTCCGTTCGGGAACCTTCCTGCCGGCGAGGACAGTCTGCTGCGGTACGAAGAGGGTTTGGATGTCCGGTATCAATGTCATGATCGCCCCGGGAACCCGGCGTCTCTCTTCCCCTTTGGTTTCGGGCTGTGGTATACGACATTTCGCGTGACCGGTGCTGCCGTTTTGGGGTCCTGTGCCTTGAGAGTGCCGAGGACTCGGTTCGTGTGTCCGCTGAGATTGTGAACGCTGGGTCTAGGAGGGGCAAGGTCGTTGTGCAGTTCTACGTGGCGTTCCCAGAGGGGGCTGCTATTCCTGGCCGCCGAGGCCCGTGAAGGGCTGCAGGCATTCTCGAAGGTTGAGATGGAGGCAGGACAAATTGCGCACACAACAGTGCAACTTGACAAGTATGATGCAGCATCCATGATGAGGCAAAAGCACGCTGGGTAGCGCCAGAGGGCGAGTATTGAGTGCTCGTGGGTTGTCGAGTGTCGACATTCAACAGGCGTCCTTTTCTGTGTCAGAGTCGTTTACTTGGACAGGCGTGTAACATCGCACAGATCATCTCACTCATGAATAACATAGGCTTGGCTTTGAAATTACGCATTTTATTTGACCTTTGTGGTTCGTCTGCCTCATCATCGAGCACTGCGCTCACCATGACGGCAGACCTCGAGTGGAGGCCGGCCTTAACCCCACCCAAGATGGATCGCCCCCTCTCCCCTCGCCCTCGACTTGAATGGCAGTCTTGACATCAACTTTCATTCGTGACGTTTACATGGTCCTCCTCTCGACAATGGCCTCGCCAACAGGCTTGCCCTCTACAAAACCGCCACCTCGGCCGCCAAACTCAAAGACCTTTTGCCCACGCACCCACGTCTCCCGGACGCGGCCGCCAAACTGCTTGCCCTCCCACGGTGAGCACCGGTTGCGCCAGCGCATGTCCCCGCTCCGCAGCGTCCACGCCTCGCGGTCGTCAAAGACGCACACGTCGGCGTCGAGGCCGACCCGCAGGCCGCCCTTGCGGTGGCTGAGACCGACCTGCGCGGCCGTCGCCTGACTGCACAGCCGCGCGACGTCGACGAGCGTCAAGCCGCCCTTGCCAAGCGACGCCCGCGTCGCGGCCTCGGCGTGGAGGATGGGCAGACCGAGACCGACAGAGCTGATGCCACCCCAGGCGGCGAAGAAGTCGCCGCTCGCCACGTCCTCTGTGCTGACGCCAGGGCTGGGCGCGGCCGTCACGGGCTTGGGGAGAGTGGCCTCCTCGTCATCAAGCGCCGACTTGACGTCGACGCCGGAATCAGAGAAGGACATGGGAGGGGCCTCGAAGGATGGCGGCGCCGCGAGATGACCTGGCAGTAGCTTGAGTTGGGGCGTGCAGGGCGAGTGGTCCGAAACGACGGTGCGGATGCACGAGTCCTCGGCCAGCAACTCCTCCCACAGCAGGTCGCGGTTCGAGTCCTCGCGAATCGGTGGGCAGCACTTGTGGCGCGTGTCGCCGTCCTCGATCGACTCGGCGGCGAGGCCGAGGTAGTGGAAGCACGTCTCAGCAGTGATCTTGACACCGGCCTGGCGCGCGCTCTTTAGCGCGGGGATGGCCTGAGCCGCCGACAGGTGAACAATGTGAAGGTGCAGGTCGGGGGCGATGGGGCGAGAGACAAGATCTGGTCAAATGGCGTACGTCTCGAAAGAGGGCGGGCGAGAGGCAAGGAATGTGTCATAAGCAGTGAGCTCGCCGGCGGGGGCCAGGGGCGGCTGCGACTGCTGGACGGCGTCACCGACCGAGTCGGCAATGGGAGGGATCATTTCGGCGTGGAACATGAGCGTCGTAGGTGTGTCCTTGAGGGTCTCCATGGCGAGAGCGACATCGCCGGAGGAAACGGCAGGGAACTCGTCGACCTGTATTCAGTCAGTGGCGTGTCTTCTCGGCTGGCTTGTGGTTAACATACACCAGACTCGATGAGGAAGCCCTTGAAGCCGCGCACACCGGCTTCGACGAGAGGCAGGAGGTCGGCGGCGTTTCCGGGGATGACGCCGCCGTAAAAGCCAACATCAACCCAGCACTGGCCTTCGCTCGCCGCCAGCTTCTCCTTGAAGCCAGCGAGCGTCGTGGTGGGGGGGATAGCGTTCAGGGGCATGTCGATGACCGTGGTGACGCCACCCGAAGCAGCAGCGCGTGTGCCCGTCCAGAAGCCCTCCCACTCGGTGCGGCCCGGCTCGTTGAGGTGAACGTGGGCGTCGACAAGACCAGGCAGCAGGACCTTGTCGCCGTGGTCGATGTAGGTTGTGGAGGCGGGAAACGACGAGGCGGGGAGGACATCGTGGACAATGTCGACAATCCTGCCGGTGGAAGGCGACAGAGTAATGGTCGCTGGCGTGAGAACGAGGGAATCGTCGGGCAGAGTGATTACGGCGCGCGTCGAGGCGAGGACGACGAGCCTCTCGGCGGAGGAAGAGTCAGAGACAGCCATGGTGGGGAGTCTCTTGGGAGGTCTCTGGGAGATCTTTCAGGAGGTCTTTCAGGAGGTCTCTGAGGAGGGTCTCTGTCGTTCTGCAAGACGAGTGTCGTGTGGTTGAAGCAGAACCTTTCCTTGCCAGGGTGAAGGCGTGACGGACAGAGCAAGAGGATGCCAAAGGGGATAAAAACAAAAGAGGGAGTGAGAAAGGGCTGTCAAGGTCGCGAAGCTTGGAAAGAAGTTGAGTTGGCGGCGCGACGAGCTCTTATCTGGGACGAGATGGTGGGGGAGGGGTGAGGAATCGGGTGAGATAAGGGTGGGATCGGAATCAAAACTCGATGCGAAGGTGCTGCGTCGTGTCTGCGGGTTGACAGTCGGAGGAGGGGTGTGTGTCTGGGGAACCCTTGCTCGGAGACTCTAACGGGTTCTAGAAAGTGCGTTATTCTCGTCTTGCTCTTGTGTCTCTTTAGTGTCTTGCGTTTCTTCGATGGTTCGGGAGAGAGAGAGGCTAGGCACCTTGAGGGAGAGCCTGGGCAGCTTGACAGACCGCTGGGCGTCCTGGAAGCGACATGCGAGCTGGCCACACCATGACTCGAGATCATCGCAACGGCATCGCCTCGCGTCGTCCATAGCGTGTTGGCCTTCGGCGGCGGTGGGGTGCAGTGCCAGACGCCCGAACACGAAGCAGAAGCATATGCATGAGCCGAGCCAGAGGGTGTGGAGGTAGTCGACTGACGGGAGACAGAGAGGGAGACCCTGAATACCCTCAGCCTACCTACGTTACACCTAGGTACCTACCTACCTCAGGTCCTCGGCCCCTGCCCAAATCATAGGCCTGCCCAAATCCAGGCAAGTCCCTCCCTGCCCGTCATTAGTTCGTCCCTTCCCATCCATGCTGATCCGTCGTGCCTGCCCTTCCAAAAGCCGAGATCCCTTATCATGCCCCCCCCGATTGGTTAATAGCCCCAGCGCACCAATCAGACGCCGTCCCAATAAACCGCAATCCCTCGACAAGCGCAACGCTGGCCCTTCCTCGTCAAGGTGTTCCTGCCAGCGCCTTACCTCAGCAATTGGCCCGCGTGTTTCCATCGAGTAATCATCGAGTAAAGCCGGATCGATGCGCCTATCCATTGGTCGCCTTCATTTTCACGGCCATCAGTTTCTTTGCGCCAAACCGGTGAGACCAGAACCAACCTGGCGAGACCAGAGGCAACCTGGAGGCAACCGGGCAACCTAGCGGGAAAGAGGGTTCTGCGCCGACATCGCCCAGCGTGTCTAGCCAATGCTGAGATGGGCGAGCCAGGGGCCCCATTCTCATGAACCGCCGCGGCCACGGATCGAGGCTTTTCCTGTGGTCATCGTCGAGCAACACCATCAAGTCACAACCCAGGCCGCGCGAATCGGACCTGTTCAGCGTCGACAGGGACAGATGGTCCTGGGCTTGTTCATCTTATTCCTCAATGGTTCCCTCTGACAAGTGTTCCTCTTACATTTCTTCTACAGAGATTGACGTGATCATTCAGACGTTGTCGCACTGCCCATCTCCCGTCATCCTCACGAGCCAGCCGCCGCGGAGATGCCATCTCAGCCGATTTCAGGGTCCCCTCCCATCGCTGTGACAAGCTTTGGCCCGTCCCTCATCGCGCAGCGTGCGTTTCTGCCCCGCCCCTCCTGGGTACCCGGCCAAACACCTGTCGGCCGCCGGGCCCTGTGCACGTCCACACGCCTTGTTCGTCACGTAATGGGAACCCCAAACCCGCTCAGTCGGCCGGCGCGCTCGAGAGCGGAGCCCGGATGTCGCCGCACCACCGGCGATGGCCGACGCACGCCCTCGGGAAGGGCGGTGTATCGTTCTAGCCGTGCACGCTCTTTTCTGCCTAGGTACCTACTCTACTTACCAAGCTTACCTAGGTAGGTAGGTACGTTCGGTGTGCATCGTCCCAACGTCGAGGCGAACATCACGACCAACGACGCCGAGCCATAGACGGTTCAACCAGAACATAAATGGTATTGAGCTGCAAAGCACACCATCCAACACCGCTTTTGCCTACCCTGTAACCCCTGCCGCCGTCTATCGTTTGCGCCGAGAGTTGTACGCGCACTCTCCCTCCTCAATTCAGGGAAAGCGTCTTGGTGGTGTGTTGTGTGTATGTCGGTGTTGTACAGATGGTAGTCGCATGGCGGTTATCCTCTTCCGCCTCTGCCCGCCGCCCCTTTTCTTCACATGTTTTGTACAAAAAGATGCTGCTGCTGCTGTTGATCGCCCACGAACATGGTCCTGACCACACACCCCCCCCCCCCCCCGCTCTTACGGTCGGGAAGGTTATTTTTGCGTGTACGCGCCTCCTTGGGCCACCTAAAAAAGCCGGCCGTTGCCGACCTGTCCC